GGGTCGGGATCGTAGATTTTTTTTTGACCGTTGAAAATCAGGACCAGCCCCCCCCCCGCGATGGCCGGTATTTGGCGTCCCGGGTGAAGTGCCAGCAATTGGCCAGCACTTGCTTAAAAATGCTTTTGTTGTCACATAGATGTGTTGCCATCATCAAAGCGCAGTGAAAGGTCACTTTTGTTGAAACGTTACTTCAGGATACCAGAGGGGATCCAGTTGAGCGGTTGGACTGACATGTATGATCATCGCACATGCAATGAGCAGGGAGGGGAGGAAGGAATGCTTGGCCCATCCCGGCCAGAAGTCGTTCTATCCGATTTCATCCTTTTGACCGTGTCTGGGAGCACACACCCTAATCTAAAAACGGTTGGATCACTTTGGCCTTTTGACATTGATGCCAGAATGAAGGTTGACACGCTAAAAGAGCTTGGTCCTACCTGATAGCAAATTGCTTTTGCAGTCACTTAGACATGTTTTGCCCCAAATTGATGTGCCGGCAATTGGCCAGCCCCGAATCGGTGAGCTCGCTATAAAATATATAGGCAAATCATTCAGGGCATGTTCAAGTATGGGCCCTTATATAAGGGATATACAACCTCCATACCTCCAAAAATCCCATACGTGACAAACCCCTCGAACTGCGCGATTGACCTCCAGGCTATGAATGTCGCGTTTTTGTTTGCCTGAACGTGGAAAACATGGGGAGAAAGCTGCCCCCGGCCCCGATTAGGCCCCACCAAGCCCACTTTCCCAACTGAGACATGGGATTGCTTCCATCCAAAGGGTTGCATCATGCGGGTGGGAAATAAGGGAGGGGAGGGCCCTGATAAGGTCCTCTACTTGGGGATGCAATTCTGACTTCAGCGGTTGGGATTATAGTAAAAAATACAGATCATGATGAAGGGTCTGTTTTTGGGAAAGCAGAGCCCTTTTTTCCGTTCGACGGGCCATGATTCGCCTGCCGCCTCAGGCTATGGCTGGGACAATGGCGACACGCGGCGGATTTACCACGGCCGGGTCTGGGAATCGAATCGATTCGACGCTTTGCCGCGCGTTGCCCATTGCCCGTAGGAGGTTATCCACTTGGGTTAAAACCCCCTAATGACAAGGTTAACCTTGCTGAACGAGTGTCCAAAGTGGAAAGCGCGACTTGAGGTGGCCAACCCCCTAGTATCATGCAAGGTTAAACCCTACTGATTCCGGAGGACTTACTACCGTGGGTTAACACCGAACGGAAACCGTTACAACTTACAAACTTGTTCAATCAAACATCCAAGTAGGTTCGGCTTGTGGGGTATGGGGCCCATTCCACCCTGGCACCTCAAAACGGGTATGTTACCTTTTTTTTGAGGGCACCCCATGTTGTTTTTCAGGAGAACCAAAAAGGGACACCGCGAGGTATCAATTGGGAGGGCGAGGTGTGTGGCCTGGACAGCGCCGTCAAGGACCGAACGATGACTTGGGGGGGGGGGGAGAAGGAAGTGGGTCTGTACTTGTTGAGAGACCCAAATGAATCACCCAAATCAGTTCCACCAAAGGGCCCCGCCAAAAAAGGTATATCCGCAAATGCCCAAGGGGTTGCCACATGGGTTTGCACACTTTTCTTGTTGCGTTAAAGAGAAACCCGGGGGAACACCGTTGAGCCGTTTTGGGGGGTCCCCTTTCCTACAAAAAGACACCAAAAATGTGTTGGGCCCAAATGGGACCTCATTAGGGCCCTGAAAACAGGTGCCAAGATTCTTCGACTTAAGACTGACTCTCTTCGACAAAGAAAAGAAAAGAAAGAAGCAACAAAAAACCAGCGGGGCCCAGGTTTGAAGAAGCTACCCTTTGAAGTTGGCTAGGGCAACAGAATCGAAACCACTGGGGATCTTGATTTTCCAGAGCCTGAACTGGACAGGTTCTCCGTCGTTCCCTTGCAAACGAAGCCAACCATGTCTGTCTCAAAATCGGGGTCCGGACCGCATGCCGTACTTTTTTTGATGTGGCCATGGGCTTGTCAACATCCAAATCGCACCCCCAGTGAACATCCCAATCCAACCACTAAAATCCCGACTAAAATTGAGGTTTACCAATCCCCCAAAATGGGATCCCATTGATTTTGACAACCACAGCCATGTACCTCTTCAAGAACCAACCCCAAACTGTGGGTAGCCTCAAGACTAGATGCGCCCACATCTCGATGCTTGCCGGGGTTTTGCCACAACAAGAACCCTAGGTCCCGCAGCTAGGTGCCCTTTCTCACCCCTTTTGTTGATTGGGAGGGTTTGGGACCCTACCAAAATAGACAAAGCTGAAACAAGTTGGTGCCACCTTCTCCTAACCTCTTAAATCTGGAGGACCTAGAAGCGGAAGCACCTTGGTTTCTCCGAACTTCGCAGAAGTGGATGCACTGCGAAGCCTTCCACAACGACGAAGCCGGCAAGACCGTGGGTCTTTGAAGCTTATGTTCGGCCAAGGTAAACTGTTGGCCGCGGTAATGACCTCCCCAATAACAAGGTTGACCTCCGTGAACAGGGGACTTGAATGTGGGTTGCAGCCTAAGTTTGCAACTTACTCACTTGGCAACGACCACCCAAGCAGTAGTTTACCCATAAAAAAGTGGTACGTTAAGGGTCCATTAGGGTCCAGGCATGTCCACTTTTGACCCACCAAAAAGATCCTTGAAAAGGAAAACGGCCTTCCAGGACCCCGCAGTCAGCTTCCATTGGAATTGAGGGCTCAGGTGTATAGCAGGTACCCAAGCGTTTCCCAGCCTTCAAAGACGCGCTCATCGAATGGGCTCGCTCGACTCGGGTCGCTTGAAGCTTCCGTGAGGACAAGCCGTTGCTGTACTGGTGCACCAAACCAGGTCGGGCCTTGCTCGGCGAGGAGCCAAAGGGGGGAGCTGTTGCGAAGTAGTGCCCTTTCTTACCCCTATTTTGGTTGGGAGGGTTCCCCTACTTACTAAAATGGACTGCAGAAAAAAGGGTACCCTTATTCTAACCTCTTTGTTGGAGGACCCAGTTGCCCTGGTCAAACGGAAGTGAAGGACTGAAACCCGCGGTCCATATCCTGGTGGTTTACCTCTGCCCAGTTGCCCAGTGGATTCCGCCCCTTCTTTCCACCTTTTGTTTGGGAGGGGGGTTCCCCTTTAAACCTAAACAACCCAAGAAAGATGCCCCTTTTTGCACATGGCCACTGGGCATCTGAGTCTTCTGCTTGCAGTTTTGGTTGGGTGCCCCCGCCCCCCCGTAAGAGGGAATGTTTGTAATTATTGTAGTTATTGCAGTTGTTGTGATTATTGTAGTTCGAATAACAACAACTACAAACATTGCAATAACAATTTGGCCCAAATCTTAATTATTGTAATTGTTATAATCGAATTACAATAGTTGCGATATAAACAGTCATAATTTGTCCCAAATACTGTAATTATTGTAACTATTGAAATTCGGCGCTGCCCAGGTGCAACATGTTGGCTTTACGCCCAGCACTTGCCCATTGATTTGAACGGCAGGCGTGGCAGTTTCGGCTGCAAGCCAAGATGCGTCAGGATTTTCCGTTAGTGAAACTCTGTCTTGCATACATAATTTTGTTACGGGTCGCTCGGAAGCCATGTCCTTGCAGGCAAGCAGCTGTGCCACAAGTGTGGTTCACCAGCATATTTCAGGTGGATGCTTACTTGTTCGGTGTACGTGAACTGAAGGTTACTGTTCCTGTGGAGTTGTTCGTATTGGAAGCGACTTTGGGACCAAGATGCATCCACTGGGGCAAGCCAACAGCATAGCCACACGCCATTCTGCGCTCGTTTGCCCGGTGCCCGGATGTCCTTGTTCGGACCCTGCTGAAGCTGCTGGGCCACGTTGATGCCCACTTATCCGGGACGCGCCCCCTGTTCTGCGCCGTGTCCCTCAAGGAGCTCGCCGCGCCTGGTGCCAAGTGCTGAAGAGGGCGAGAGAGCGTCTTTGTGGGCCACTCGGCCGCGAGCGCCATCTGGAGGCCAAGCCCTCACGAGGCGGTCCGCGGCAACCTCGCTGAAGGCCTGGCGTTTGAGGGGTTCGATCGTAAGGCCTGCGCGGCTCTGCTCGCCACCGGGCGTTGGGCCAACATGTTGGGCTTACGGCCCACGCTGTATAAGCGTTTTTGCCACCGCCGCTTGCGATGCTCAAGCAAGGGCAAGGGCCGGTGCCATATTTTCCTCGTGCCATGTTTACCTCGCCTCAATCCAAGATCCTTCGAGCAGCCCTGAAATAGTGCACAGGAACGACCCCGTGGAAGAATGCCTGCATAGAGATGAGCAGCGGTGGGTGGCGCAACGAGACGCTGTGCCCTTGCAGCCTTTGAGTGAGCGATTGCAAGCAGTCAGCAAGCCCAAGAACGGAAAGTGGGGCACCTGCAGAGCGCGCAACAAATGCATGGTGCCTACTGTCCAATGGGGCGGGAAAAGGCCGGGATCTGTTGTATGCAGGATCTCAACCTTTTTTAGGGGAGCTCACCACCTGCCAAAGGCAGCCCAGGAAAGGCTGCGGCTAGTGCGCAGCGACATTTCTTGGCAAGTGCAGCATGGCAAGGCCAGCGCAAAGCATTAAGCAGTCGTGCGTGAAACAAGCAGCGGCATGCCTTGTTTTTGTGCTTCTTGTCCAGACTTGTGTCTCTTGGCTTTTCTGGCTCGGTCTTTCATTCCCGTAGCAATGAAGGGCCGTGTGAGGCCGCCTAGAGAGAGATATGCCAGCGGAAGGTTAAAGCCAACCAGCAGAAGCCTGGCAACAAAGTCTGGCACCAACAAGAAGTTTCACGTGGCCGGTCTCAGCTACGGCGGCAGCAAGAGTGCAAGCAGGCAAGCGTCTCAAAAGAAAGGTCGCAGAGGCCTTCGGGAGCTGAAGCAGAGATTTGCGCCGTATCAGAAGCGAAGTGGAGCTCCTGAAAAAGCACAAAGTCCTCGGCAGCAAAGCCCACAGAAAATGTTACGCGTGCGGTGCAGGCATGAAGCGCACAAAGGAGCCCGCCACCCTGCGCTGCAGCGGCAGCTCTGCCGATTGCTCAGCAGGGCGGCCTCGAGACTCAGCCAAGTAACAGTACTGGATTCCTTTTTGGCTGCTTTTTTTGCATCTTTTTTCACGGAGCGAGGTTTGAAAAATGTTTGACCTGCCTGCAGCATTGCAAGGCTTACATCACCCTGAGTACCAGTACACACCGCTTGCTAGTGACTTGTCTGCTGGCTATTCTGTCAGCTGCAAAGATTTGGTCAGAGCTGCGTACGTTCTTGGCGTGCGGGCTCCCCAGGACATGGCTTTGCATTTAGCTGCGCTGCCGGAGAAGCGGCTTGACAGCTTGTACAAGCGCCTGCGCCTTGCCCTGGCGTACACACAGATGGCTCTTCAACAAGCTGGTGAATTCGGCCCGGGGGTGCTTGAGTTTGACAGCACGGCTTGCAGCACTTTGAAGAAGAATCACGACAAAAGAGGGTGGAGCGCTGCAGCAAAAGCGGCCGTGAAACGGTGGGCACAGAAGAAACCTGCTGCGCAGAAGCACTCCTTGGCAGAGACAGGCACTGCGGTTCACTCTGGACGCCTTTTACTCGCAGCACACAGGCAAAGCAAGAAAGCAGCGCTGATGCCTTTGCAGGAGAAAGCGACAGCGAAATCGGCCCCGGGGCCACCGGAGACAAAGTCAGAATGCATGCCACACATTGCTCGCCTGGCCAACGCCTCCATGCACGTGATTGGAAGCGACAGCAGCACAGTTCTTCGAGGATGTTATTCAGATCTAGGCCTTCAAGCTGCTTGCGCGCGCCATTCGCTCAGCGAGTGGACGCCCGCGGTAAAACTCAACCGAAAGCACATCCCCAAGGCCGTCTTGAGAGTTATGACTGCCACATCCCGAGGCAGCAAGCCAGCTGCGAAGGTGAGCCAGCGGACTGTGACCATGGTCGGCGGCGACCAAAACTGTGAGAGCATCGCATCCCAAGTCAAGGGCTCCCTTAGACGGCTAGGCAAGTACGGAAAAATCCAATCTGACAGGGGCGACCAACACATCGCCCGACTTTCGGCCAAGTACTTGGCCGACCGGCCTGGTTTCTTGTCGGGTCTCACAGCCTTGAAGTGCTACCGCGAGCATGGTCAAGACAGAATTGCTCCTCGAAATGCCTTCAAAGATCAAGAGTGGCTTATGCCACGTCCGCTACCATTTGGCCTCACACGGGCTCACTTGTTTCCGGGTTCCCTTGAACGTGCGCGCTACCATTTGGCCTCACACGGGTTCACTTGTTTCCGGGTTCCCTTGAACGTGCACGCTACCATTTGGCCTCACACGGCTTCACTTGTTTCCGGGTGCACTTGTGTCCACGAGAGCGCCACTTGAAAACGTGGGGCAAACGATGGCCGTAGGGCCAACGTGTTGCTCTCGACAATCCTTGCTTTAAGGTCTGCAAAGCGCTGAAAGACATTCTGCCGAACCGCGAGGAGATGTCGCTGATCCTACGCATGCAGCAATGCGCAACAAGCAGGCCACACGTGGCTGCAAAACACAAGGCTCCATGCTTCTACGATCCTTCATCTCCAAGTTCAGCGGCCACGACATATAGGGAATCTCACAGCTTAGGAGATCCGGTTCTGTGATCAGGTCCTTAGTTCGCAACGCGGGCAAGAACTGTCATTGAAGCCGCAGCCCCGCAGCAAGCGCGAGAGCAGTCGGCCGGGGCGCAGGAGGCGGCCAGGGCGCCCCCCGCTCAGCCCAAGCGCAGTGGTGCGGCGCGCAACGAAAAGCCTTGCAGTGACCTTGCAGAAAATACCTGGCAGAAAGCTAGCGCAGCCAAGGCCATTCGATGGGACCTTCGGTATCCCAGGCGCCGCCCTGCCCGAGCATGCTCATAGGCGGGGTCGGCGGATAATCATACATACTCGTATACTAGGCATGTGTTTAGCGGTCATGTTTGTTTGAGCGGCAAAACATGGCAACCCATTTTGGTTACTTCACGGGGGCCAAGCAACAAACAAATCATGTTGTTTCGCCATGATGTGCTTCAACCACTGGAAGGGTTGCTATCATGCGTGGGCCAACTCATGCCTGACTTCCGCACGCTTGCAATTCAGGATCAGTGCCTTTTCTGCACCAGCAGCAAAAACAAAGCCCCAAAAGCGCCACCACCTCCAAGATGTGGGGGATATGGCTGAACGCACGTGGCCTCCCTTGGGTGCGTAGGGGTAGCCTGAGTTTTTGAGTTCTGCTGACCCTTGCAGCTCAGTAGCTGACGCCCCTCCATTTCAAGGGTCAGAACCTTCATGGAGCGGCCATTGGAAGGCTTGGAAGGCTTGGGACCTTGAGAATGGCATTTTGAGGTACCAAAAGATGCTCAAAATAGTTGACACACAAGTAATGACAACTAGCCAGTCTTTTTTGAAGGTACCTGTTTTTTTTGTAAAAAAGGGGGGTTCAAGGGAAACCGAAAGGAAACGAGCCACCCAACGGGCTTCCTTGCGGAGTCGAATCCGAAAACATTCCGCGAGATGTTGGGAACGTTAGAGTCCCTTGAAACGGGTCCTGAAAGGTCAAGAGGCCGGGTCGCCCCGTTTGGCGGCGTAAACTTGCCCGTGCACCAACCGGCTTTTCGTTCCTTTTGTTCTGGCTTAAGGGAATCAAAAGAAAACAGGTGCGCCATTTTGGGGGAAGGCGGGGGGTGATTGGGAATTTTCGCATGTGCTTGTCCAGAAGTTTCGAGAACCAGTCCCATGCACAGCACGGCGAGCCCCCCCCGCCCAAAACAATAACATTGCCAAATCTTCATCTTTCCATGATTGGCAAAGTGTCCACACCAGGGCCGCGTCACCTTTTTTTTTAAGGGGACCCTCTTTTTGGGCGCTTTAAAGGGAACCCAAAAAAACGTTTGGCAATTTTTTGGGGCTCCAATCCTAAAGCAGACACAGCCAATGCACCAGGGCAGTTCATCCGATTTTTTTGTTGCTTTGGAGGGGAGGGTGTCCATCGCCACACGCCATCGCGAGGATGTCTTGGATGGGCGCCCTGGACGCATGAGATCGATGGGTGGCTCGTTTTTGGAGGTACCCTTTTTTGTTTAAAAGGAAACCAAGAAACGAAACCACCAGTCTTAGGGGTTGCCATGGCTGATATAAAAAACCAATTTGAGGTCTTTGGGGGCCAACACACCCATATACTTCGGGTCCAAACGATCAGGGGCTTGATGGGCAAATGGACACACCATCCCTCCGAATCCACAGCCACCCCATCAATTAAAGGGAAGCTGAACAAACAGACATGAGGGTAGAGGGATGGAAACCACCCTCCAAAAATGCCAACATGCTTGCGGATGTTTCGCGCATCCATCGCTGTTCTCGCCAGCCACACCTGAGCCCTTGACTGCTTCATCCGTAGCTCAGCAGTTCCCAGCGAATCGCCCGGTTGTTTCTTCTGGCTTTGTGGAGCTGAGGGGCCCTGGTAAAAGGCTGGGCACAGAGAGTCACCTCTCTCAACCCCAGCCCCCCCCAAACAGCTGCCAACCTCCAAACCCACGCCTCAGAAAAATTAAACCACGAGTGCAGCTCAGCTCGGGGTTTCCACTTGGGTGAATTCGCTGCCAAGTTGGAATGGCAATTTAAAACCTGCGCAGTCCCCCTAGAATTGGGTTAACCTCATGAACCGATGAACCAAGTGGCGATCACCACTTAGGGGCCCAAGTGGATTTCTCCTTTCAGGACCAAAAGTGGTGGTTTTATATATGAGAACTGCCCAGCTTGCCACCTAAGGGGAGAGACCAGTTTTCGAGTGCTTCGTGCCGCTCGGGGTCTGTGGACGTTTCGATCGGAGGGCCGGGAAGTGGATGGACTTAGCCAACCAGATCCTGCCGCCCAGCCAGAACATCGACTTGCTCCACCCGCGCCTCGATGTGCATCCCATGAAAAAGAGAATCGGAAGGGGCCAGTGGAGCCGAATCGGGGGACGGAGAGGTAGGAAAGGCCAAGGTGATGGTAGGTCCTTTATTTGGGAGTTCAGGTCTTTCAGGTGTTCATTCCCAGACCGCTTTAGGGCCCTTCTCCTCTTTGCCATCAAAAGGGGGCTATCTCAAACAGCGTCATTTTTGGAGGCCTGATCCGTTGTCGGGAGCAAATGGGTTTGGCAATGCATATGGGTTAATGCCGACATGGGTGTGTCCCTTTTGATGATACCCCCTGTTTGCTGGTGTTAAAGAAAAACCAAGGGTTGAACACCGTTTGGCCATTGTGGGGAAACCCAACCTTAAAGACAAGACCCATACTATTGGCGGTCTACTGTTGCTTTGGGGAGGATAAAACACCCGTGTGGCCACCCGTTTCTTTCTCTCGAAGTGTTGCTCCAGCGGGCCAACGATGTGCGCAATTTGATGTAGGGGAATTTACCTGGTTTTTGCGGCAGGTCACCAAGGGGATTTTTAGCCAGAGAAACCAAGAGGAGAATGGATCGAAGGAACCGTGACCTGCAAAAAATGGCGAACCGCCTGGATCCACTGATTTTGTGAGTTCAAGGTTCAATCAATGGACATTCAGTGGACTAACTCGGCCTTGATTTTCATCCCGTTCAGAAGGGGCCGCATTATGTTTTGGATTTGGGAGAGTTGCAGCCCTCATTCATTTGTCAATTTTGCTGCGTTATTTCTCCGGGGTCGTACCAGCACTTCTGAAAATATTATACTTACATATATATATATATATGTATATGTGGCTATGAATCTTATGCTTGGAACACCCAATCAACAATAGTTGGTAGTACCATACATTCCCGCATAAATGTCTGCCGAGGATGTAGAGACATCTCGCACTGGGAGAAAAACAAAAAACACTTGAGCCTTTTCCGAATGTGGAGGGGGGTTGTTGGGGTGTTTGGCTAGCACCCGTCCGATAGCAAGACCTTAAGGGCTTGATTAAATCGTGGACCCCGGATTTCTCAACCGGTTGACTACTCACTCCTTGAGTTTCTGAATTCCACTTTTTGAAGATGACAGCGGGTGTCCCCTTCTAAAAAAGCACCCCGCCCACTCACTCCGCCGAGTTCCTGGGCCTTTTCTTTTAAGGTTTAGCGGTAGATGAAAGGTTCAGACTGGTTTTTGGCCAATCTGCGAAAGTGATCTTATTGCCCTTCCTCCCACCAAAGTAGCACCTTTAGAATGGTACCTGGAAAATCAATTTCTCTAGAAGGGACCCCCCCCCTCAAACGCCCCCACCCTTCCCCCAGACGTGGATGCGGGTTAGACGTCCGGCACGCATGAGTCGGTCAGGGTTTGCGTGTCGGCCTGCCCTGCGAACAGCGATACCTTCCACTCCTGCCTGCAGCTGCTTGGACTTGCATTGACAGCTGGGCTCCCCCAAATATCCGCAGTCATTACTTGGCGGTTCCCTGCCATCCGGTTCCATAGATATGGCTCTAGCCTTTTTGGTGTTTAGTAGTTGGATTTCTGTATTTAACCCACTCAAGGTTCTGCTTTTGGCGGGGAATCTGAGGACAGCCGAGATTCTTTTGCGCCTTGGAATGATTCCCCGGATATTTGGGTGATCAAAGTCAGAACTTGGTTGTCAGGTAATCCCCTGTTGGTTTGGAGCCGGGTGGTTTGGGGATTTGGGGATTTGAACCCCTGGCTTTTGAGGGTAAGGGGCAACCCCACCCGAACACCAAACCACCGGACCCAGCTCAGGTTGTTTCCCCTTCGCCCAGTGAACCGGGGAGTGACTCTGGTGGTAAACTCATGGGCCCTTCAGGTCCTGCTAAAACACTCAAGTACCTAGGGGTACCTTCCATTTCCATTCTGAACCCAGGGATCCGAATCTTTCTAGAAAACCACCAAAAACCCTGGGTAAAATGGCAGGTTTTTCGAAAAGAACGATGGCTGAAAAGAATGGGGAATCAACCCCTAGAAAGGAGTTTTTGGACCTGTTGGTCTAGCGTCTACACGGAATTTCGGGGCTTCACCCCAAATCATTTTTCGTCTTTTTCTCGATCGGCTTTCCGAACCAGACCAGGTTGTGCGCTGTGAGCCACATGGTCATGGCTTAAACATGTGAACCCCCTTTGAGACAAACCCACAAAAACTTTTCGCAGGTTAGGACACCCCAGGTCAGGAACCCCTTGCGATTTTGGGGGACTCCCCCTTGTTTGAGACAAACACCCACCCAACCAACCAACCTCCCAACCAACCAACCACCCAACCAACTTCCCAAACCAAACAATGGGAGGTTTTGTCCGAAATCGCCAGCCTCGGCCACCAACGAATAGGCCCAAAGGCTGTCAGGGTCAGCTTGAAGGCAGGCTTCTGAGTCCCAAGACTGGTACTCGGTTTAGCGGCGGACTATAGTTCTCTGTGGTTGGCTTGTTTTCGGGTGTTGAAGTGGGTGCGAAAAAGCAAAGTGTTTTGCTACCAAGGGTTGGACAGTTGAACCTTTGTATCCACTCACTTTCCCAAAGCGAATCAACCTTCCGAGCTTTGGGTTTCTCCTTTTTGACCCAAAGGTTCATTTTGCAGACGCTTGTTTTTCTTGCTAGAGAGGCGTCTACGATAGAACGCCGGTTGGCGTGCTTGCACGCAGACCGGGAGCATTGGCAAATCCGACTGGGGTCTCGATTTATCTGTCAAGTGCCCATAGGTGAGTTTCCTTTGGTAGGGTGAAGTATAGCAGGAGTCCCTCAATTTCCCCTTTTTGGGACCTCCGAAAGTGGCAATTTGTTAGAAGTCCATCAAAAACAACCGACTGTCCAATTCATTTTCGAGTTCCCTGGATGTTAGATTCGCTAAGTTAGAAAGTGGAGAATGCCACTTGGGGTGTTTCATAGGGTGACTTGTAAGTTGGTGATATCCTAGGTTACCAACAACTTACCAACTAATCCTGGCGACTCGAACACGAAATTTCCGACTCTTGGTACCTCATGAGGTCTGAAATCTTCCAATGTCACCCTCCCCCCCGGCAATGGAAGGTCATTTTTTGGTGCTTAGGGTTGGACCCCTAGCTGTCAGTTGTCCTTTCGGGGTTGGTTTGGCAGAAACTCGCTGGCGATTCGAATCGCCTCGTTGACCTCTTTGGTTCAGCTCCCCCGGGGAAAAAAAAAAAACCTCCGAGGTCAACCGAAAGGTCCCCATGGAAGGGAACCTCCCCCTTGGTCTTTTTTGGGATCGATTGGCGATTCCTGGATGACCTCCTTGTTTCCTGATCCATTTGGCCGGGACATCCATTGGTTGGCTGAAGCTTCGGGATTTGAGTGGGCTATTTGGCTTCTCTGTTGGCGCGTTTTGTAAAGCTCATCCCTAAACCCCCCCATCCCGCCCCATCCCCCCCCATCCCCCCCCATCCCCCCCCATCCCCCCCCATCCCCCCCCATCCCCCCCTTCATCCCCCCCTTCATCCCCCCCTTCATCCCCCCCTTCATCATCCCCCCCTCATCCCCCCCCTCATCCCCGCCCTCATCCCCCCCCTCATCCCCCCCCTCATCATCCCCCTCATCATCCCCGCCCTCATCCCCCCCCCCCATCCCCCCCCCATCCCCCCCCCCTGAGAAGGGTCGTTTTTGTGGGGATCGAATTGAGTGCACCGAGGGAGGTGAAGGTGGAGAAGCAGGAGCCGAAGAGTTTCGACGGCCGGGGGCCTTGAACTTTGAGCATCGGAGGCAACGATCTGAAACCAAGTGGCCCAGGTCCTGCTGATAAAGGTGTGTCAGGCCACGGAGAAGGTAGCCTTCCATTTGCTGAGGTTTTTTTAAAATTCAAAGCAGCTGTTGGTTTTGAAGGGAATCAATTTCACTAATTTGCTGAAATGAAGGATTTTGTTCTTGCCTGTTGGTTTTTTAAAGGGAATCGATTTGACTAATGTGCTGAAATGACTATGTTGTGTTTTTCGTCTGTTGGTTTCAAAGGGAATCGATTTCACTACTGCCCTATGCTTCCAAAGCCTATTAAAAAAATAGTCGTTGTGACAACCCCGGTTTTTTGATAAAGACTATTTTTTGATGACGAGCGGCAGCCTCCGTTTAGGACTGGAACGGGAGTAGGAAAAACTTGACGCCAAGGCCGCCTCATAGGATCCCAAAGCCGAACAGGTATTTTCATATGCAGCAATATGTGTTACAATCTTCAAGGCTAATGTTGGCTTCTCTGTTGCTTGGTTTCTTAACATGGCCATGTAGCGCGTGAGGGTGAATCCTCTTCTGACCGTTTCTGTCCTTCTTTTGCCCCACCTTCTTAGCCAAACCAAGCAAAACGGGACAGCAAAAATATTTACCCTTTACAGCAACCATTCCAGGGTGAGAATGTTGATCTTCTGGGTCCCCTGCAAAATTTGCCCGTTCTACGCCAAAAAATAGTCGTTCTACGCCAAAAAATAGTGGTTCTACGCCAAAAAATAGTGGTTCTACGCCAAAAAATGGTGTTTCTACGGTTTTTCTACGCTTTGTCTACGGTTTGTCTACGCTCACATCGCTTTTGGAGCTGTGTGAAGATTGGAGCGGAAAAAAACAAGCACACAATTGCTTGTTGTTCGTTCCACCTGCGCAAATTGCAGAGGAAAATTCTAGAATTTGCTAGAATGAAGGCCCCGTCTACGCAAGACTTTCAGCAGGTGCATTGTGCAAACACGAAAGGGCGCCGAGGACCCTATCAATAAATAGTAATCTACTGGCTCCCAAGGCTTCTTGAGAGGTTGCAATAGCAGGCGTAATTTCAATACAAACAAAGTAACAACCCAAAATGGACCCCAAAGGCCAATGTCAAACAATAGGGGTTGTCAATGCAAAAAATAGGGGTTGAACAACCCCTATTTAAAAAATAGTCGAGGAAGCATAGGGACTGGACATATGTCCTCATTGTTTTTTTCCAGGGGCGAAAACGCACATGGAAGGTACCATAAACTGGCGCCAGCGGTTGCGGGGAGTTGCGGAGCTGGGGGCATCCAAATTTGGAGCGATTTGGAGATACCAGGAGTTCTGACGCCTCTCAACTTGGAACTTGCAAGCAAGGGACCAGCATTGAACCCTCGGGGTCTTTCATTTGAGGATTGGTGTGGGCTTTTGTAGCCCGGGTTCATTGGGGGTTCATTGGAAACCCCGCTGATCTCCCAAAAACTGGGGCCATTGGAAACCGGACCCTGATGCTCCATTTGAGGGGAGTACGCAGAAACTTCTTTTTTTGGGCGCACTAGTTGTAAAGGAAGGGGATAGTTCAATATTTACATAGGTTCACTAGGGATCCTCTCAGTTAGATGCTTGAGGTGATGTTCATGGCAATGTATTCTCTACTTGGGTTTTCATTCAGTTGGGGATGGGTCATTTTTTTTTCACCAGACATCCATCCGCAGGTTTTAGCCCTTGGTCCCATTTGCCGGGCAACCCATTGTCATTGTGGGGGTAGCCGATGTTTGACCCAAGGTGCACCCGACCCAGGATCAAAGCCGCCCCTCTGATTCTATTCCACCGGCATCAACCATGCTTACACGTAGTTATGTATGTATATATATAATTATATACAGTCTTTACATATTGTTAGCAATAGCACAGCAATGATGATCATGTTATATATGTATATACATATATATTTATGTAGTACACACACATATATATATATATAGAGAGAGAGAGAGAGAAGGAGAGATATAAATATAAATACGTCAACATTTTTATTTTTTTTTTAAATGAATGCTGCTGGTTGGATTCCCCAGCCCAAATTGCCGGGAAGGGAGGGTTGAACGGACCTCGTGGAAAAAGAGCTCCACCGATGTGAATCGTAGAATTGGCCATTGAGGTCGAGGGAGAATTTCTTGGTTCTATATAGGGATCGATATGTTTTGCATTTTAAGTAGACTAGGGATGGGGGTGCTGTTGTAGGGGACCCCAACAAGAAATATGGATTTCCTCGTGGCTTTCCTTATTTCCAGCCCCAGGCAGAGAAACCTCGAAAGACGCAGCCATATGGAACAGAGTCAGATACTATTTGCTTTCTGTGTTTCCCGTTTTGCGGGAGGTATGTGTTGGAAGTAACTTCTCGACTCGACCTCGGCTTTTGCCCGTTCTCGCGCAGCTTTGTTTTGTTTTTACTTTCCCCATAGAATACTTTCGAGGAAAAAGACCACAAAACAACGCAAATCCTCAGGTCTGGGTGTGCAGAAACACAAATTGGCCGCAACTCACTTTGTTTGTTTCCTTCGGGATTTAGTTCCCCCCCGCCCAAAAGCAGGTTCCTCCAAGTATGGACCCTGAAAGCTATGGGGCCTGGCTTTGGCTTCAAAAGGCAGAGCGCCGGAAGGGGTAGACGGAGGGTTGCTACCACCTAGGCTTCGTGTTGGACTTACACTGATACTGTGGATGCCCTAGTGCATGTGAACAAAACCCATGCTCAACTAGGTCCAGTAGTGCCCTTTTGTGGGGAGGGTTCCCCTACTAAAATAGACAACAGAAAAAAAGGGTACCCTTACTCTGACCTTTCTACTAGAGGACCTAGTCAAGCACAACACCCTGCGGCTTTTTAGGCAGTAAGTTGATGGGTGTCCATCGACCTGTAGGATTGCAGCAGTAAACCATCCCAAATTCCCAGCAAACCACGGAGTACAAAATTGGACCAGGCGACTGCAGGTTTTAGTCCTAGGTTCCATTTACCAGGGAACCCGTTTTCTATTTGGTGACCCACTGGCATATGTGATCTGGGCATCCACCATTTTCTGGGTTTGCAGGGTGAGTGACGTGCGAGTCGAGAGCGAGGCTCCTTCTGGATGAATTCCACCTACATCTCGCGCTTGGTGGCTTGGCCGCAAACGGAAGCCGGGGACGACTTGGGTGAACCCACGTCGGGTAGGTTGCAACCATGGCTGGCTGTGGGTCAAAAATAGGTACCCCAAATTGGTTGCCTCAGTAAACGGGACTAAAAGCTTGCGGGCCCCTGGTGGTGATCAATTTTGACCCATACGCAACTGGGGCAACCGGGGTTAGTCCCCGTCTTCTATCAAGTGTTATGCCCTACTTACCTGACTTTGGTTGAATCAAGCAAGGGGTTGTTCCGCCATCTCAAACAAGGCCTTAGGGCCTTTCTGAAGACAGGGGTACGAAGAGAAGCGCGCCGTTCTCTGATTTATCATGGAGGGTCGCAGCCGTCAAGTTCCTTAGGTTTTATTTTGGCCACATTGAAATGCTGGCAAACTGTTGCAAGCAACATTCCAACGGTTCATTTTATAATTTATACAAACTGGTCTTGAGGTTTATTGTTTGGTTTTCCATTTTCGGCTACAGTTAGGCTTTTAATTAGCAGGGGATCAGAAAGCGGACAGCCCAGGTCGTATTTTCAGCATGGGTCGAATCTGCAATCCGTTTCGGAGCTGAGCGCTCAAACGACCCCCATGTTAGTCCCCCAGCTCAACTGGGCCCAGTCTTTTGACTGGGGGGGGGGGAGAGTTATGTCAGCTGGGGTTGTTTCCCCTACAAGGACAAAATCCTGCACCGGTGACGGATACAAGCTGTGAACAATGGTGGAAAACCACCTCATCGCTTTGGTGTGGTCAACTCACCCGGTTTTGGACCTTGTGGTCCCTTTTCAAGGCTAACCAAGAGGGCCATGACAACCTTTTGCGACCGCGCGGCAAAACCCTTCCTGTTGCAGCTTTTTCCGAGCAACCGTGATGACTGTTTTTTGTTGGAAGAGTGTCTGGAAGAAAGCAGCAACTTGGCGATCCAGGTTGGTCCTATTTCCCGAGCAACCCAGTTTTTGGTTCGTTCTTCCCCAACAGCTGAAAGCTGTGGGGTCGATAGGCCCAGATAGGCTATGGAGTGGTTTGGGGCAGTTTTCAGGGAGGGTTCCGGAGGGTTCCATGGGGTTCTGGGGCTGTTGGGGCGGGATACGGGTCTCGAAATGGGGAAAAGAGGGAGCGACAGGGGCTAGGCAGACTTGGAGATTTAACCTGCGCCAGGTAATTAGGTTATAACCCTGGCAAGGGGACGACCCTGAGTTACCCCGATTGGAATACCGGCTGGTGATTAGACACCTGCATCTTGCGATCGGTGTATGGTTATCCACGCTCCTTGCGATCCATCCCCTTTGCAAGATAAGCATGGTTACACTGACCCAGATTGAACATCCGAGCACTATGTCAGAGTAAGGCCCTTGGCATGAGAGGGAGATGCCCGACGTTGCTCCAACTTAGGTTGTTTCCCTGAAAAGGGGGCTTACCCCACTTACCCCAGTTACCATGCTTCTTGGATGTTCAACCTACTCAAGTAGCTTGAAACCAAGGTTATTTGCCTGTGTTTGTTTTCCTGTTCACACCCAAGTTGCAACCTGGCGAATCTTGAACACCTCCCCCCCGCCCCGTGTTTTTTGTGTCTGGCTCGCCGGAAGGCGAGAATGGCAGTAGGCACGCGGACACATGTCGTCAAGTGACTCCACGGGCCACGGATGGCGCGATGGCCGCAAGGGCCAAAACGCCCCCGATGTCGTCAAGCTTCTCAGGGCTGTCCTCAGATCCCAAGTTGTTTTTCACCCCAAGTTGCAACCACCCACTAAAGTTTTCGACTTTTAGGGGGCATCTGAATCTTTGGACAGTCCAGTGAGTGTTCTTTTTTCACACCCAAGTTGCAACCCCCGCCCCACCGGGCCAAAAAGCGCCGAGGTGCAGGATGTCGCAGCCTTCGCATTCGCGAGGCGCTTCTGCCTCCCCCAGGCGCGCGCTGGAGGGGTCGGGGGGGGCTGGACGTAAGCCGAAAGGTTTCTTCTGGACGTCAGACAAGAAATCCAAAACAAGCAACTTCAAGCAACCAACAAAAAGCCAGAGCCCTGTTTGGGGGTTCCGTAAGCATCAAGAAAAGGGAGCCTCCATGGAAGGTGCCGTTTTAGGGGACCTAAGGGCCTTGCGGGCCCATTTGACGGTCAGCATTGGAACCAGGAGGGCGACCTGGGGTCCGATTCCGATGAATTTCCCGACACAGTGAGGGCCGAACCATTTTGTTTGGCGGGCAAAAGGGAGGGCAGCTGACCTCTTTTTAGGGAACTCTATTGTGAGAAGCACTTTTTTTGAGGCGAAGGATAGCCTTTTCAGGTTTGCTTAAAGGGGTTTCCAGCAGGGACACACATAATTCGGGGCTCCCTTCTTGACACTCCAGGGTCCCCTTGGGATGCATTTGGGTGAATTGCAACATCACTCCAAATACCAGCCGATTCAGAGGAAAGCGAATCTTCCCCGAAACAAACCAGACCCAAATAGAGCGGAGTCCACCTCATGCGGCAAACTTGAATTTGCGAGCTTATCTGCGAGTGGCCAATGGTAACCCCCTGCAAGTATATGGACTCCCTTTAAACCAAGCCAAAAAGGGTACCAACTCAGAAAAAAGGCAACCAAAGCTTGGCCCCAGCTGGCCCCAGTACGGGAACTGGACATCAAGGGCACCCGCATGGGTTGAAGCGAAACAACCAATCGGGTTCTGACTTTGATCATCCCTCATGACAGAAAGAGTAGCCTCCGAAAAGCATGGAAGCTGAGAGGGTTCATCAGGACAGCGGCTCTCGGGTTTTATGTGTTTTTTGGGATGCACTATGCATGCTCCGTGGGTCATGTGAGAGCAAATTCACTTGTCCAAATCGCCGACATTTTTGTCTTTGTTTTTACCCCCTTTTGGTCTATGACTCAGTCAAGGCTTCAAAAGGTTAGCTTTGTTTCAGGCCCTTTGGCGATGCGAAGAAATGCTCAGAAGTACAACGACCGAATCCGCCGCCAGGAGAACTTTATCCTGGAGCCGCCTGGCAAAGCAAGATCTGACGGTAAGCTACAGTCCAAATTGATCAGGAATCGGACCGCAGGTTTTAGTCCTTGGGTCCATTTCCCGATTAGGCAACTCATCTTAGGTACCTATTCCTGACCCACAGCCCACAGCCGTGTATGTCCATTTTCGGTTTGGTAGAAAATAGATCCCGACAGGACACCTATGCCTACCACGTTGCTGAAGTCACCAGATGTAACCAGCTTCTCTCTGCCCTGCTTTTCTGCAGGCCGCTTATGAAGCCCAGTTCCGTGAAAGGCGTGTCAGGCCACAGAGAAGGTAGCCTTCCATTTGCTGAAGCGAAGATTTTAGTTACTTTCACCTGTTGGTTTTAAAGGGAGTCGATTTCACTGCTGGACATATATTCTCTGATTTTTTTCTAGGGAACTTCAGCAAATGGAAGTCGCCCTTCCTTTTTTTAACCAAGAAAGACACCCCACATCATTGCAGGGCGGGGGGGGGGAGGCAGGTTTTTTGCCGAAATCTGACCCAGTTCCACAGTCAGCCACGCTTGAAGGCTTGGCTCCGGTCGACGGTCTCCCCAGTTTTTTTGTGGCTTTTTGTCGGAGGCTAAAAGAGGGGCCCCTTCTGCCATTTTTTTTTTCGGAGGCTAAACAGGGGGTCGCTTCTGTCATGTTTCTGTCATTTTTTCTTCGGAGGCTGAAAAGGGGTGGTTTTTTTGGTTCTTTTTCTCGGAGGCTAAAAAGGGGGCCCCTTCTGTCAATGTTTTTGATTATTATTTTCAATGACACCAGTTGTTGCCCTTCTACCAAAGTACATGGGTTGGTGCCATAGGTGTCACTTTTATCTTGGTTTGGCTAGAAACAGACTGGTTTAGATTGGTGTTATGGCATTCATTCACCAGGAACCCAATTATTTTACCAGAAGGTCACCTCCGGTTACTACTGTATCACCGGGAAAGAAAAAGCCGCCTGGAGCAACGCGTATGCTATGGGGTCCTCTTTTTTGTTCAAGAGGTCCCAAACCTTTCAATAGGTTTCGATCCGAAGCGACCAATCTCCTATGGGTCCTGTCTGATGCTTAGATGAATGAATCATAGGTTCCCAGTGCAATAGCAAGCTCCAGCTCGCTGCAAGATCTAGCGTTTTACCATATCCACCGACTTGGGTGTGGGTCAAAGTTAATTACCAGGATATGGGTATTCCGCACCGATCGGGCAACCCATGTTGGTTGGTTACCCTGCTGTGGATGGAGGACACCCACTTCGCACCAGCGAAGAAACCCTGGAATGGCGATGTCCCCTTGCAAATACAGCAACAAACGTTATGGTTTCCTTCGCATGGTTGCAATAACAGTGGTGCGAGGCTCGCGGATTTCGCAACCATCCACAGTATGTTTGACCACCTAGATTGCCAAGTTGCCGCTATTTTTTCAGTCACTGTTGCTGGTTTTTGGGGGTAAAGTGCATGGAAAGAAGCAGAGACTGGCGATGCAGGCACAGACCTTTGGACTGGCCTCATGATTTTATCATGATCAAAGTCACCCCGGAAGTGATGGGTTAAAGGGAAACAAGCAACCACTTTCTGACTTTGACCCTCAGAAACGGTCAAGAATAATGACCCCACTTGGAGTTGATCTGCTTTGGAGACACGTCGACGGATCTCGCCTTGCGCCTTTCCGAGGAACATCAACGCCACCTTCCAGGGCTCCGCCAACCAGGCGAGTGCAACCCCCGAAGAGCCAAAAGTCGTGAAGAGGCTCTGCTTGGGTTGGTGTTAACGGGAGAAAATCAAAGGCTAGGTCCCCCAGAAACCAGGAGGACCACTCACCATTTGCTTGCCTAGAAGCTCTGGGCATTCAGCAGGGTTTGGTTTTAACTTGGCTAGGTCCCCCAGCGAAAGGGTGCCCTTTCTCACCCAACTTTTTTGGTTGGGAATACTGAAAAGAGTTGGTACTCTTATTCTAGGCTCTCTAATGGAGGACCTAGAAGGGACACCCCGACAACATGTGTGGGGTCCAACTCCGTATGTCGGTCTGTCCTTTTTGAGTTGGTACCCTTTTTTGGTGGGTGTTAAAGGGACGCCAAAAGGAAAACCACCCGTTTTGTGGGCTGCCCCCTTGTTCCCCCCTTTTTCCACGGGGTATCATGTCAACCCCCGACTAGCTAGGGCGGTCTTTACCATGAAAAACCTGGTTCCTCCAAAAGATTTGGGAGGGAGATGGGGGACAAGCCCACGCATTGTCCCGTGAAACTTGAAACTGGGGCCTTCTCTCAATTTGGCGTGCACCCCTTTTTGACGACTCCATCTTTGAGCACATTCTTCCTGGCTTTCACCAGAGCCTCTGGAGCAAAAAAATCCTTCGCTTCAGACTTCGGACCCCATTGGAAGGCGACCTCAAACCGGCGCAAGGCCATGTTTAGGGATCCCCAGATGCTTACGTGGGTGTTCAACCAACGTCAGGTAAGTAATTTCATTGCAACCATGGTTATAACTGGATAGCCCATGGTTGTTTGTCTTCCTAACTTGGTTGAACACCCAAGCAGATTAAACCAGCACTTGGGACCTGCTTGGCCAACGCCCTGAATCGGAAGTGAGAACATGGTGACTCATTTTTGCGGGGGGGGGGGTCCCGAACGATAAATCGGTGTGCCAAAACACGGGATTTCCCCATGGCCAGCAAACACAGAAATTGTGTGTGTGTGTGTCTGAAAATGGCTGTGGCTCCAAAAACCGGTGCCAAAATGGAACCCTGGTAAGCGGAAACATGGACCAAAACCTGCGGTCTGCCCCTCCTGTTGAATTTTGAGCCACACCCAAATAGGGGAGACTGAAACAAAAGGTTGGCGTTGGTTCCCTTTAGAACCAAAACGGGGGTGCACTTCGCCTCAAAACAGCCACTCCCTAATGGGAATACATCAAATGAAAGCCTCTCAGTTTTCACCAGTGGCAGCTTCTTCCCATGTGGTTGAAATATCAAATATTTTTGTCGTAGTTTTCCAACCATGGTCATCCCATGTATCACGGACCTTTTGATCAACCCTCCCTCCCCTGCAAAGGTGATGAATCCCCACTAAACCCAGGGAGAAGCACCCCCCCCTATTCATAAACCGGGGCTGATTCATATGGGGTCAACACTACCAACTCCAAAGAAGCCGAGCCACCCACATGACTATGGCTCAATCCGGTACCAAAACGGGTTGCCCTGGTAAGCGGAAACATGGACCAAAACCTGCGGTCTGCCCCTCCTGTTGAAAATTTTGAGCCACACCCACATCAAAAAAACAAAACAAGACAAATAGCCAGAAGTGGCCAGTGGCCAGCAGATTTTTCTCGGGTCCCACGACGTCGGAGTGGGGACTTGCCCGCGGGTCCTGTGGTCCCGAGCTCGGATAGGTGATGTACGGCCTGGCGGAGGTGATCGAGTCCCGCTGGGCCTTCATCATCGCAGGCCGGCTCTTCGGCTCTTCGGTCCTTCGGTCCTTCGGTCCTTCGCGCCGCTTCGGCCCCAGAAAAAGGGGGCGGGGCAAGTGGGGAAAGGTCGGCGGGCTCCTAGAAGCCGAAAGAATTTAGGGTGCCAACTTTTTAGGGGTTATGTTGGGGTGGATTTTGGTTCGGGTTCCTACCACCTTGTTTTCCAGCCTGCTAGGTTTTTTTAGGCTTCCGTACAAATCTCGAGGGTTCGGTCGTTGAGCGCCCCGAAGCGGATAGATCGAACCCTCAAAATTCCAACTTAAAAATGGGTTTGACCCCCAAAATTATGGTTGGTGATATCCCATTTTTATGGGTAGTTTGAGGTCCCCCAGCTAGGTGCCCTTCTCTCACCCTTTTGGTTGGGAGGTTTCCCCTACTAAAATAGACAAAGCAGAAAAACAAAGAAGTTACCAACTTATTCTAACCTCTCAAATCTGGAGGACCTAGAGTTGCTCGGCTCGTTTCAGCAACTCGATGGGCGTCGTACCCTTTTTCCTCAGACGAGTCCACATGACAAGCTTTGGAAGGGACCTGAAGACGAAGGGTTCCATGTGTGAGGAAGTTTCTGGGATTCGGGATTCAGAGCCCCGTGTGGTTGGCGCCCTGAGGCCCTGAGCAAACTTTTGACCCCCAGTTCCAGCACTTTTTTGGGTGGGACCACTCCAGGCGCCTTCGCGGCGGCTGGGACGAGTGAAACATGGGCGGAGCTTGGGGTCGCGACTGCGGACGGAGGGCTTGAATCTTCGAGGGTGTCCCAAGTGAACAATCAGCGGGCTGGCCCGGCCCAGAGCTTGTTTTTCACTTTCCCATTTACAAACCTGTAACACGGCACCTGGAAGGGTTCCACGTTGGTGGAGGGGATGCATATGTGTTTGTTTGTTTTCCAGACCCCCGAGTTCGCCAAGTACCTCGCCTGATTCCCTGCGACGAAAGGTAGGGAACTTCTCTTGGGGTTTCCCACCTGGAAAAGCAAAACAACACATGAAAAATGGTTGGAAGGGTTGCTTGGATGTTGAACCGACGTTAGGTAGGCAATTGCCTGGAGTTAGTTGGGGTTAGTTGGCCGTGGTTGTAATCTGCTAACGTGACGTAGGCAACGAACATCCAAGTACCGACTGGTAACATTGGGGTCCGCAGGCGAACTTTAGACCCGGCCAGACACCGCAGAATTGTGGGGGTCCGAAGCTCTACTTTGATGGGTGTGTATCATGTGTTCCATTTGCAGACTATTCGTTGTTTTCTCCTGGTTTTGAAAATTATGCCTGGCAAAGGCAGGTAACCAAGGGGACCACCCAATAGAAATGCCAAGAGGAACATTGCTGGTTACCTACTCTAGTGGCTTGGCTGGGATTTACTGGGATGGTTTGGCAAACTTCCAACTTGTTTGGAAGGCGAAACATGTCCTCTTAGAACGAGTTCCAGTACAACCCATGCTTGGGTAACTTGACGACACAAAGTAAAAACATGGAACACAGTGTAAGCATATGGGAATGTGTCAAAAGCAGGGGACCAAACCACAAGATGGCTTCGGTTTTCCTCTTGGTTTCCCTTTAAGTCCACCTAAAGAATAAGAAGGCGACCCTCAAAGAAATCATATATCTAAAAATAATTGGTTCGTTGATTTTAGAGGCACGGGGGAAAAACCCAGGCCTCTCCAGGGTTGTTAGTTAACTAACTCGAGGCCTTCGGCTGGGGCGGCCAATCGTTTTGTTTTCTTTCTGGGACACCACCATTCAACTAGCAAAAACACACCCAATCCTGTGTCGGGGTAAATATATGTCAAAGACACAGGTTTTGGCGCGAGTTGTTTTTCCCCGTTTTCTTTTTTTGTTCATCGTTGTTGTTCTTTTTGTTTAATGATGTTCGCAGATGAATCCATGTCCTGTCCGCATCTCAAAGTCATGCCCACACAAAAAATGCGCGAGCGATTCCACCAAAGGCCCAGGGATCGATTCCTCGAGTCAGCTGGGCCGCCCCTCCTTTCTGGAAAATGGCTTTGCCAAACCTTGGTGGCCAGGGTTGTGGGATCAAGGGGTTTCTCCCCACTTCTGTGATACAAGGGAATCCCCCTTTATATGAACACAATAGTCTTTGGGAAGCCGTTTCTGTTGTATCACAGAAGTGGTCATCGAAGGGGAACGGCCCTCAGAAAGGCCCCGCGCTTGAAACAAATATGGTTTGCCCAAAGGGTCCAATCGGGGCTTGGCTTTTGAGGAGCGCGGGGGGTTTCGCCGGTGCCCGTACCACACCCGAGTTGCTTTTTCCGGGGTGTCACAAGTTGGCACATTTTGGAGGAATTCCCCGAATTCCCTCGGGGAATGACTTGTAAAACCCTGCTGTGGACGGTTGCGAAATCCGATTCGCATCAGTTAATTAGTAGGTGGTTTTTCCACCTGTATGCATGCCGTGATTTTCAGGGTTGCATCTATCCCAAGTGGTGCATCAGCTAGGTCCGCCAGCTAGGTCCCCCAGCTAGGTGCCCTTTTACCCTTTTTTAGGTGAGGGTGTCCCTACTAAAATCGACTACAGAAAAAAGTTGGTACCCTCAGTCTAACCTCTCTACTGAAGGACCTGGACAGTTTCCACGGAAGACCCTTGAAATCGAGACAGCGGCCCAACATCAATGTCATCCAGTCACCATCAAATCGACCAAGCAGTTGGGAAAATAAGCACCAAAGCATGAACCAACCCAAAATGAACCAACCCAAAACATGAACCAAAACGTGAACCTCCCAAAACGTAAACCAAAACGTGAACCAACCCGAAACGTGAACCAACCCAAACGTGAAAAACATATGTGAACCACTCAACAAAATATTCCACAAAGTGAACCACCCAATCAAACAGAGAACCACCCAACCACCCCAAAAACATTTGATTCGTTGAGGTGGTCCTGAGCTACATCTACATGTTCCTCGTGGACCTGCTGGCTGCTCCGGCGCCGAAGCCCGAAAGGAGTTCGGGGGGTTTCCTCTTTGAAGCCTTCCGCTTGCTGAAAAGAATACATATATATATATATATGTATATATTGTGTTGTCTTAAATGTAAATCCCCTGTGGGTATTTGCTGAAATTATATGTTTTTTACTTGCCCCCTGTTGGTTTTAAAGGGAGTTTATGACTATTGGCATTTTTTTTTTTTTTTTAAGAACAACAAATACCCTGTTGGTTTTGACGGCAATTTATCACTATTGGCAATCCGTTTTCATGTTTTTGTTCTTTTTCCAGGGGACTTAAGCAAATGGAGGAAACTGTGTGCGACGGATGGGAAGGTGAGAAAGTATCCCGGCGTTGCCCTGCTGAGGTACCAAGACTCCTAGGGTGGTTTCCAACATGTTTTTCTAGAATTGCAACATGATAGGGCGATTCAAATGTGCAGATCGCAGCGATCGGTTTGATGTTTTTTAGATGGGTTCCACTGGTTGGATGGGTACGAAAACCATCCGTGCACCAGGTTGAAACCCCATCTATTTGAAGCCAATAGGACAGCGATCGGATCCGTTTCTGATGGAGCTTCTTTGCTTGGATTTTTTGCAGATGGTTGGAAGTTCATTGGAAGTTCATTTGGAGTTTTTGGGATTTTCACCGGAACATTGGGACGTTATTGCTCCACTGGAATTTATTGTGAACCAGTGGCCTTCAGGAGAATTAGCTGGAATGTGAACTGGGAGTCTCGTGAGTTTCGGAAGCCCCTGACGAAGGAATTCACGAGGGGGTGAAACGAGCTCGCCATGTGGTAAAGATCCTTTCGCTGGAAATTCCCGAGTTTAGGTTTTGGACATATTGCAGAATTTTGCAGATTTGTGAGGATTTTAGGGGGATGTGATGGAGCGCCACTGAACAATCATTGGAATTCTGCTGGGTCACACATGTTGAGGTGACCCGGCTTGAAACGGCCCACAGTGGGTTTTTGTGAGTGCCTTTAGCTTTTGGCCGTTTTGATTCTGGGTTTGGGGGATGCGCCCAATTTGCCCAGAGCGACCCAACAGGTCTGGTTGGCCATTTTGGTGGGTGGTTCTACGTGCTACCCGGTTCAATGGCCTATGCCTGAACCTTTCGACCAAAAGTCCCGGGTCTGTCGCGGTCACGCCCTTCCGATCCGGTCCTAGTAATGGGAACCATCCATTTTGGTACGGATTTCCATTCGGACAAGTCAGCCCTAAAAGTCCATTCGGACAAGCATGCGGTGCTCTTTTCAGTGCAGCCCTCGCAGAACCTCGTGGAACCCTCTTGGAACCCTGGTGGAACTTTGGTGGAACCTTTCCTCAGGGCCGGCCTGGACCCCGGAGCCTATCTGGGCTGAGACCCCAAAGCTGTCAGCTGTTGGGGAAAAAGGAGCCACCCCTCCAAATGGGCGGCGGTGGCCTTAGGCACCATTGGGCTGAGTTGAAGGGCCCTTAGGCACAAAGCTGCATTTTCGGCTTCAAAGCAACGACACCAAGTGTAGGACGAAGTCAACGGTTTCCGCTTGCCGTGTTTTTTTTTTGAAGGGTGATCGATTTGGAAACAAGTTGACCTCTCTGTGTGTTTGTTTTTTTGCCGCCCGATTCCGACAAGGAGTTGCCCCAATTTTCTCTTGTGGCTTCCCTTATGCCACAAAAATACAACACCCAGATCAGGAGGTTTTCCTGGCTTCGCCGCAAGAGCAAAATGGTGGTCACAGGTGATCCTAAAGACACGTACCAGACGGTTTCCCTGGCAAGAACGCAAGACACATCCAGTCACAGGTGATCCGAACAAACAAAAAGAAAGGACGGAGATTTTCCCTGGCTCGTTTTTTTTTTGTCCGAGGTGATCTACGTGCTGCTGTTTCTGGCGGTGGCTGGGCCCATAGCCACTGGGCTCTACTTCATCTACGGCGCCTTTCATGAGGAGGTCGGTGCCAGCCTCGGCTCGGGGAGAGCGCTCGGGGTGGTTTGGGGCGGGGCTTGGGGGAAATTCGTTTGGGTGAGGTTTGGGACCTTGTAGGAGGGGTTTAGGTTGGTTTGGGGTGATTCAGGGTTTAGGATGGGTGGTTTGGGGTGGTTCAGGGTTGGTTTAGGATGGGCTTAGGGTTGGTTTGCGGTGATTTAGGGTTGGTTTAGGCTTGGTTTAGGCTTGGTCTTTGTGCTTGAGAAAGAAGTGGGCGACCTGACGGAAAAGGGGGAGGGGTGAATTCGGTGGTCTGCCACTTTTTGTGAGCAACGTAATGTTGCCTGCGGAGTACCTCCAAAAGTGATGATCCAGTTGCCGAGTTTTCCAGTCAACTGTGGCTGTTTTTTGGGCAAAGCCCCTGGCAAAAAGAAAAAAACAACCGATCGCAGCTTGGAGATCTAGGTGGGGTTGATGAACTTGGAACAATTCCCAGGCATCCGGTTCCTTAGGCGTTTAGCGTCTTAGTGTCTAGTGATTTCCGTTTGACCCACTGAAAGTTTGAAGCTTTAGCGGGGGATCTGAGCACAGCCCGGCTTCGAAATTCCCATTCCCCCGCCTCTTGGTCTTTGGGATTCGAATCTCTCGAGTCTCCTCTCGAGTCACGCGTTCGAAGGCGAGCTCACGGGTTCTTTGTTGCCTTCGTCACGTAGAATTATGGTCATGCCTTACACCCTCTACTCCAAATACTCGCTTTTTTCAGGGTATGATGTCGACCCTTTACTAAGCATCGAGGTATTTTCCGTGGAAAACCAGGTTTTCTGGTTTTCCCAACAATACCCTGAAACACGCGGGTATTTGGAGTACGAGGTACCGTAAAGCAGAAAGGATCCTCCATTGGAGGGGGACCCCAAAAAGGCAACTTGCCATGAGGTGCCAAGATTCTTTGGGTCGCTTCTATGCACCCAATACCTCCGAGCCCTTTGCGACCCAAAGGGTTCCCTACTTGGAGGTTCGATTCGCCAAGCTCTTAAGTGAAAGACACCACTTGGGTTAAACACACACACAAATTGGAGACTTCTGGCTTTGTTATGACTTAGATTACCGACAACTTACTAACTTGGCCGAACACCCAAGACTTGACCCGCCAGTGCTGCGACTCTTACTATAACTCAGGCTGTCGGAAGGTAAAAACCAACAAGAAAATCGAAGGTAATTGGTGAGAAGCGTCCAGCGTTGATAAACTTTTTCAAGGCGTGCTCCTTTAGGTACCCTCTTTCCAACAATGGAAGTGCACAAAGGGGTTCCCCAAAAGGAAAAAATCGTCTTCCATAGCTCTCCGGTCAACTTCCATTGTTGGAGGGAGGGTAGGAAATTCTGACCACTTTCGGAGGGAACACCGCCAAAATTTAAACAGGACAGGGTGTCTTTTCTCGCAGCCGCGAAAGGAAACCGGCCACTTTTGGAAGGCTTCTTGTGAGCAAGCTCGTCTTTTTTGGATGGCTCGTCTTTTTTTTTTTTGAGTTGGTAATTCCCCTTTTTCTGTGGTATTTAACGGGAGGCCAATCAGAAGGCCGAAGCCTTTCTTGTTAGGGGGGGTCCATTGTAAGAAAAAAAAACATCCATGATCAATTATTCTAGATGTTGGCTGATTCCTTTCAGCCACTCGTTGCGACCATGTTAGGATCGGCAGGTGGTTCTAATACCTTGTTTTTGTCAGGTCCATTTACCTGGTAAAGGCAGGCAACCAAGGGAACCGCCAACAGGAGAATTGTTGGTTACCATAGTACTGTGGATGGACGAAATCCTGCACCACTAAGACACCACCTAAGTACTGTGGTGCGAAATGGATTTTGCAACCATCCACAGTAGCATCTGGGATCTGGGAGGCTGATGGAAGCGCCGAAATCGCTTTAGGCAAATTGATCGTGGACATCGCGGGCCATGAGGCGACTTGGCGCTAAGTTCTCTTTCAGTGCCTTTTCAGGTTGGTGCCAGGGTGTGTCTTTTTTGAGGGTAACCTTTTTTTTTGTGGCTTTAAAACCAAAAGAAATTCCAGCATTTTGGCGCGTCACTCAAAAAGACACACCTGTAGAGGGAAACCGAGAAGATAACCACAATTCTCCGGGTCCTCCCTGTTTCAAGAATTATTCCCATGTTTCATATCCACTAGGTCCCCCAGTAGTGCCCTTTTACCCTTTTTTTGGGGAGGGTTCCCCTACTAAATTAGACTACAGAAAAAAGATGGGTACCCTTTTTCTAGCCTGGAGGAGCCAGTCCATCTTTCGGGGGGTTGGCTCCCGAAATCAACCAAGCGATACGATGAAAAATGCGTTCACAGGACCTGTGAGGTCTCACCCTAAGAGATAGAAGGGTTGCAACCCGAACCAAAATGACTGAGTGGAAGACTGGGATTGATGGGCGAGTCGGTTTTCCCCAGCTGAAAGCTATGGGGGTTGATAGGCCCAGGTAGGCTCTGATAGGGTTTGGGGCAGCTTTCGGGGACAGGATCTAGGTCCCCCAGTAGTGCCCTTTTACCCTTTTTCAAAGGAGGGTTCCCCTGCTAAAATAGACTACAGACAAAAAGAAATGGTACCAACTTATTCTAGCCTCTCTACTGGACCTAGGGATGGTTCCAGGAGGTTCCAGGGCTGTTGGGGATACCAATGTACCTCCCTTCTTTTGGGGTCCTGGGCATTGGACGCTCTCAATTTGGCGGGGCTCAAAATGTGGCCCTTAAATCAGGCCCTTTTCAAATTCGACCCAGTGACTCCATCTCCCTGTAACCACCAAATGTACTTCTGCTTTTCAAGGGCAAGCCGTTGTTTACCTAGACTTGTAAATGTAGTCACCGGGGTACGAATAGTTTTTCGGGGGTTCGGGTTGGGAAATCCCCGCATACGACCCCTTGGAAGGTGTTTAACGACACCCATTGACCCCTCCAACAGTCGGCAGCGCTGAAGGTGAGCGACGTGAAGCTCTCACCGGTTTCAGTCCGACGTGAGCCCAACTTGGTTGTTCAACCAACGTCAGGCAAGTAGGCTGCAACCATGGCTAGAACTGGTGTAACTGGGGTTAGTTGAGTTATAACCATGGTTGTAACCTACTTACTAAGTCGGTTGAACACCCAAGTATGGAAGGTCTTGTTTGATGCTTTGACTTGCGCTGGTGCGATAGGTAGGGAATGACCGAGTCGGGGTGATAGGAATGAATCGTTTTGGCATGAAAGGACACCATAGGGGATGGTTTTTGCTGAGAACCAACAAGTTGAGGTCATTGTTTGTGTGTGTGTGTGTGTGTGCGTTCTTGTTTAGTTTTGTTTTTCTTGGGGGAGGGGGGGCGGTTATCAAAGTCAGAAACTTGGGGTTTCCCTTCGAGAACTTGGGAGACCTTTCCAGAACCAAGAGCTGGCATGAACCAACAGGGGTTCAAACAAAGGAGTCTTCCTGCATTGGAAAAAAAAGGCCGATCGTTTTCCCTTCCAGGCACGAGCTCAGCGTCCAGATTGGTTCAACTTGGAGAATCCCCCCGAAAGGTGGAGAGAGGCGTTTTGGGGATTCATGGCAAACTGGTGTAACTCAACTGCAAACTCAGACAGCGACAGGGGGTCTAGGTCCAGTAGTGTCCCTTTATACTATTTTTGGGGAGGGTTCCCCTACTAAAACAGACTACAGAAAAAGGGTACCCTTATTCTAACCTCTCTACTGGAGAACCTAGTCTTGGTTCAGGGCCCCCCCCCACCCAAATAGGTGGTTTTGTTTGGGTTTCCCTGTAAACGACCCTTCAAAACGGGTGCCCTCACCAGAAGACCATGTGGGCCACTTTTGAACCGTTCGCTGCGGTTCCTACCTGGTTGAGTAGCATGGCTGAAGGGAATCTTCACCGTCTGCAGGCGGATTCGGCACCCAAAGCCCGAATCGCGGAGCGACCTTTTTGAAACATGGGTGTGTCTCAAAAGGCTTGTGGACCAGAACAATGGTCTCGGTCCATTTGGCTTCCAAGTTTTTATGAACCATTTGCAACATGGGTATGTCTCATAGACAAACCACGAAAATGGCACCCGTTTCCGCCGGGTTTCAGGTTAAAAGCCATACGCAACATGGGGGTTTCCTCCGACAACCCCGCCCCAAATGCTTCTTTTTTGCAGTAACACCTACCAAAGGTGTCGTGACAGTGAGCTCGGAGCTTAGACCCAAAGGCGACCAAAAAGCGGTTGGATAGTCCTTTTTTTTGGCCAATCCGACGCAGGGAACTGAGCTTCCATGTGCTGAAAAATATGTTGTTTATTTCCCGGGAATTTATTACTATACTGGAAATATGTTTTCATTTTTCCCAAGGGCCTTGAGCCAAATGGAACTGTGCCAACTTGTTGGTCTAAGTTTTCCTTGGCTCACGCGCCGTCAGGTGAGTTTGCCGCAGGTGCCGACCACCAGCCACTGGGCCTGCAGTGAGAAATTTCGACCCGCGGCGAAAGATCTCTGGTGGTTATGGGACCCCGTTGAGTTGAGGTGGATTTTGGTTTGGCCAAGTTTGGGTGTGTGTGTTTTTTTTTTTTTTTTTTTTTTTTTTTTTTTTTTTTTTTTTTTTTTTTTTCGGGGAGGGTTCTGGTGATTCGGCTAGGTCTTTGAACGTTGTTTGCTTTTTGGTTGTTGTTGTTGTTTTTTCCGCGAAATCATCAGGCACCCAAAAAACGGGCGTCGGCTCTCCGATTTGGAGAGAGAGCCCTTACAATATTTTCGCAATGGCCTTGAGGAATCCGTATCGGTACCTCAAAATGGATGGCTTGGGGTCGCGAACCTTCAAAAGGTTCCGACCAACCCCCTGCAATGGAGGGTCCTGCGTGCTTAGGCCCAAATATTCTGAAGGAGCGGGAAACTGGAGTATTTTTGGCCAATTCAACCTTAGGTCAACTCCTAAACTTTTATATCTAGGGCGGGTGAGCCGAACAACGGGAACTTTGCGCAAATGTACCGTTAGGGTGGTGTAGATTCCGATGGTCTGTCGTTGGTTTGCTCGCAATATTTCAAGCACCCAGCGTACATTGAACGGTTGAAGGACACGGCTTCTGCATTGGGGCCCGTCTGAGTCAAACATGGTTTCCTCCATGTCCTTTTTTGGAACCTACTTGGATGTTCAACCTTCTGAGTAAGTAGGTTATAACCATAACCATGGTAGGCTACAAATCCCAGTTATCACACGCAAATAGCCAAGGTTGCGACCTTGCCTGATGTAGGATACGAACATCCAAGTAAACTAGTGATGGTTTCCACGGCACCTATGGCACTGTTATCATAGGCATCACCCCACACTTCAGTGTGCTTGGTCAGAAATAACCAAGGGGGCCTGTAATGATGCCTCTTTGAGCTTCTCAAAAGCAACCGGCAAGCTGGATCGACTCAGTTTGGGCAAGGCGACCGCAACTGGGACATCGTCGTTGCGGTTGTGGCGATCCTGGCGGGCATTGGGCCACTTGGAGATGTTTTTGCATGCGCGAACGGGTGAAGCGAGGGTTGGAATGCAAGCCCTCTAGGGTGTTTAATGAATGTTAGTGTTTTTAGTGTTTTTTTGGCGGTGTTTAGTGTTCTTTAGTGGTTTGTAGTCCGTTTAGCAGGGGATCAGTTTGGACAGCCGAGTATTGTGTCAGGCTCTGTGCAGACAACTTGGTCCGCAGCAGAGGAGTATGGCTCGTAGCTGAAAAGTTTAGCCAAGATGAGCATGTTACGGCATATATTATGTATAATATTGCACATATATACGTGTACTTGCATGACCTCCCTTTTCTTTTCACATCTCTGGAAAGCAACCAATACCTGCAAAGGCCCTTGCTTGTGCCATGGGTTCCTTGCGTTTGCTTCTCCCCATGGTTCCCAAACGCGAATTTGCGGGGAAATTCTTCGGTTTTTGAAACGAACACTTGGAGGACTGTGGACAGACTACTGCACCACTCACTTCCCTTTGCTGACATGAATACTGTTCCATTTCCTCCAAACTCTCACTACCGGACATGTGTTTTTATTTTTCCAGGGGACCTTGCAAATAGAAGCGACTAAGACTGGCAGCCATGAATCCCAACTGCCGATCGGCCTGGACGTTGTAAGCATCCACAGGGGCTTGTCAACCCCATAAAAATGGTCAACCGCACCGAAACATGTCAACACTAAGAAATGTTGTCCCTATGCCGAAGCCATATGATCAACCCACTAAACAAGGTCAATCCAACTAAAGCTGGTCAATCCAAAGGTGGTCAAACCCACAAAGAACAGAACAGCAGAACGCCAAGAAGGGTAAAATAGGCGTACCCACAACAGGGCGCAGCGGATTTCCTTTTGGCTTCCCTTAATACTAATAATAATAATAATAATAATAATAATAATAATAATAATAATAATAATAATAGTAAAAACACAAACAAAAACAACAAATAACCCCCAAAAAAACACCAGACACGGTCCATCGAACAATAATTTTCCACCCAAACAGCGGACTTGGCTCAGGATGGCGATCTTCTGGTGCCGCTCGGCTCAGCAAAAAAACAGGGCTGCGCGGCGTTTTTCACGCATTCCCTTTGGGTGTGTCTGAACATCACGGACCCACGTGTGTCCCGTTTTCCGGAAAAAAGTGACGGGTCCCAAAAGGGGGCACACCCAGATGACTGTGTGTGTGTGCGCGTGTGTGTGTGTGTGTCCTTGGGGACCCTAAGAAATGGTTTTCATTGTTGGTTCGCTTTAACTCAGGGTAACACACACCCATATGCTGGGTGTTTTTGAGGGCACCCCTTGCAAGGGGCTCCCCTATGTTAATTCAAGGCAACGGGGGTCTCCTCCAAAACAATATTGTTTTAAAGGGTAGACAAAATATGAAGAGGCGTTGAAAGCCGGCTTAACGGAAATACGCACGGAGAACCACATTTTTTGGGGTCCAATTTCCTATTTGGACACGTGCCACCGATTCAGAGCCATAAGGGGCATTTCAGAGTTGAAACGTGACTATTAGCTCCATGTTCGGTCAAGGTCACAAAGTGTGATCCTTTTATTTCCGACCCATGCCACTGATTCGTCATAAGGGCAGGCATTGCAGCTTTGAAACGTGACTCTTGCTCACTTTGGAACTATCAGGAACCAATGGCCACTTGGGTCCGTCTTTTTTGAGGGTCGTGTTTGGTGTGTTCAAGGGTGTTCAAGGGAAACCAAGAGGACAACCGCGGCCATTTGGGTGTGTCGAAACATAGGGAATCCCTCTTTGATGGTCTTTAAAGGGAACCAAAACGGGCCGTCGTCAGACGGGTTCCAAGAAGAAGGTTGTCATGGCTTGCGCCCGGACGTCATGTGTCTAGCATCCGATTTTGGGTCACCCATCTGTCAAAAATCTATGTAGGTCCCCAGTAATGCCCTTTTACCCTTTTTTGGCTGAGGGTTCCCCTACGAAAAAAGACAACAGAAAAAAAGGTACCCTGATTCCCTACTAAACAGTACCCAGAAAAAAAGGGTAGGCATTTTTTTCGGCCAGTCCGCCTGCTGTAGCACGAAAAAAAACAAACCCTCAGTCCGCCCTGTGGGTGGCTTCCTTTCTTCGACTTCTTGGCAAGGCCGCGGGGCATCTGAGAACCTTTAGCACGTCCACAGACCTGCAAGTCAGCTCGCGCTCTGGTCGAGACCGCGCATCTTGTGCTAATAAGAGGGCCTTCCCCATTCAAATTTGCGGGTGGAAAGATGAATTCACTCCCCCAGGTGGGTTTTCTCCTTCCAACAGGGGGGTTGCTTCACCCAATCTAAAACCCTTACCCAGTGATACCATCTCCCTGGTTTGGTAGGTGAAGCTGGTTTCCCAACAGAAAGCAAAAGCAAAGAGACATTTCTTGGTTACCTACTGTCATGGCTTGCTTGGGATCCGCTGACATGGGCGTTTCTCAAAAAAAGAGAGCCCTTTTCGGGATGGGTTGCTGCTGGAAACCAAGGTTGACACCAAGTGGCGAAAGGATTCCTGGGATTTAATGGGTCTAAAGATTGGCCCGGGCATTCTTCAAGTCTCAAGTGACATGGCTGTGGGTCAAAACCCATGGTACCATTTTGAGGTGCACCACCCATTTTAATACATTTTAGTGGGGATTGGGATGTTCACTCGGGGTACGGGCTTTTGATCCACATGGTTGTGCCAGCTACGCTTACAGTACCCTTGGCTTTCATTGCTCGACCAGCCACAATTCGGCGACTTTTTTTTGTCCTTTGACTCCGTTTGGTCCTTTGACTCACTTTCGGGGCACCAAAAAAACCCACCTCTGGGCCCCCTTACGCCGTTTTTTTTTTTTTGTATCTATCGTTGCCGCGTGGATCGGAGGTTGCAAGCGGAAGTCCATCAACTTCGTGGTGGTGGCCATCAAGGCCACCATCCGGGTCCTCTACGACGCCCGGGGCCCCAGATCCTTCGCTCGCGCTCGCGCGCGAGGGCTGCGACGGCGGCAGCGGGGGGAGGGTCACCTCGTCCTCGTCGGTTCTGGGCGGAGGGGGGAAACCCTCCTCGTCGTCGTCGGTGTTTTTCTTCTCTCTTTTTTTGGCGCGGAAGTGTTGGTGGTTGGTTGGTTTGTTGTAGTTATTCTGCTGGCGGGTTTTGTTTTTTGGTTTGTTTTTGTTTCGTGACGTTGGTTTAGTTCAGCCGATTTTAGGTTTGGCCTTGTTGAGCTTTGCGTAATTAGCCCAGTTTTTTTTCCAGTCTAGTTTCTTTTTTTTGCCTGTTGCTTTTTGCCTGCCGTGGTGTTGTTTGTTTGTTGCTTAGGGTTTAAGGCCATGCTCTATGTCCCTTGGCTGTAAAGTTGGAATCGATTTCCCTGGGGGCGAAAGTCGAAAGCACCAAATGGAAGTCAGGGGGTCCTCGCAGGAGTGACTTCCTCGTTGCAGGCGTTGGCTTCTTTTTGGCAAACCCCCCATGCAGATGCTCGTTGTGTGCCGTTTGTGGTTTGTTTGTTTGGTCCCCTTTTTTGTTCCCCTTTTTTTCCGTTCTTTTTCCGTGTTGTTTGTTGGACGTTGGTTGGTCGTGGTGCAGCCTGGGGGCTGGTTCTTTGGTTGTGAGGTGCCCACGCTGGTGTTGCTGCCGGCTATCAACACGGCGGTCCGGGGCATCGTGCTGATCCTGGCACTGCTCGGGCACCCAGCGGTCGAAACGTCGAAACCGAAGAAATTTTACAACGCTTCGAGTCCAAAATGGGTCTGTTCCTTTCCCCCAAACGAAAAGCATGGCTTCGGGCTTCCTGAATTTAGGTTGGTAAAGTGATTCGAGCGCATGCTGTAAATGGGTGCGAAATCGCTTCTAGAGCGAAATGAAACCAAAGGAAACTGTTGTTTGCTCTGGTATTTGCAGGGGAATCGTATCATTCCAGGGTCTATTGTGTGCAGGATTTCGTCCATCCACAATGGGTCTGTCTTTGCCTTAGGGCACCCCGCCAAAAACGGCTCGGGCTCCCTTCTGGTTTCCCCTTTAAAAACCAACCAAAAAAATAAACATAAAAATACAAAGACACATAAGAAACCAAAGAAAAGACCAACAAAGAATACCAACCAAAAAGGGTTTCCTTAAGAAACCCAAAAAACAACAAAACACACAGTTTCCTCAAACATGGGGTTTCCAAAATGGGGTTCCTTAAGAAACCGAAACACCTTTGGGGTTTTCTATGTGCCATGGTCAAAAGACCGGTTCCTTTGCTTGAGGTTTTGCCAGGGATGGGTCATTCAGCTGATAGTAAGCATGCTTGACCATTATGATGTTTTTCTTCTTTTTTTTTGGGGGGGGGAACAAAGGAGACAAGCCCATTTGGATTGTCCAAAATAAGGGGCTTTAGATTGGTTTCTTCTTTGTTTAAAGGGGAACAAAGGAGACAAGCCCATTTGGATTGTCCAAAATAAGGGGATCTATTTTCTTCTTCGTTTAAAGGGGAACACAGGGGAGACCCATTTGGATTGTCCAAAATAAGGGGATTTAGATTGTGCCCTCCCCCCATATTTGGAAACCTCTAAGAGACTTCCACACCCAAACACCAGCAGATATGCTGAATGGAGGTGGGGCTTCGCGCTGATCCTGTCCGCTGGCGAAATAGAGCCTTGGATTTGCTTTGTGAGCCGATTGCAGTTGCCACGTTCCGTTCCTGCTTGGCTTGCTGGTGCTCAGCAGGGAATCCCTGGATTCATTTCCACATTCGCTACCTGTTGGGTGAAGCGGACAATGGGGCGTTTTAGGCGTATTTCAGACAGGGGCATAGTTCTAGAGGTCTACATGTCCTAAAATCTAATTTGTTTCTGGTTTGATTCCTATCCTACAACTCCAATAAGTACTTAGGCCCGAGTACCCTCCTACTAACCAGCATAGAAATTTGTTCCTTTCGACCAGTTTGCTCAAGCGACCCTGTGGTGGTTCCATACAGTGTATCTTGGGTGAAATCCTTTTCTAGGATGCCCCTTGTTTGGGGTTGTTGTCCTTTTTCGCGTTCCACCGGATGTCTGACTTAGGTCACCCACCCCAAGAATGCATGTTCCCACATAGCCTCTTATCCACCAACCACTCAGGAGCTTCCCTCTTAAAATCCAAATAGCCAAATAGGCAAGCCAGAAAAGCACGGGCTTAAGGGGGGTTCTGACTTGGGGCACACCAATTTCACTTCGCGCAGTTCCTCCCAAGTACTCCCCAAATGCAGCAACCGCAAGACCATCATCCATGTAGAGAGGTGCGCAGAAATACTCTCTACTATCCTCCCATGCTTTGCAGGGAATCCGATTTCAGGTCAAAATGACCAAGGCTTCGTCATCAGTTTTGGCACTTTGCAAATGACCTGCCCTGCCCAGGTTTCAAGCCGGTTTTTGTGGTTCAAACACCCAATCCAAAGCAATGAAGGGGCCCTTGCGCGGGAGAACGGGTAGGTGAATTCCTGCCGCCAAGGCGGCTACTCTAAGTAGGTCGGCTTCCTTCCTGGTTTAATTGGGGTTTGTTACGGCAAGCCTACATTATAAAACCATTGGTAATCATGTTAGTAGAACCAAACTCAGCTTCGATTCTTGTGGGGTGATGTGTGACCCTTCCTGGGAAGTTTCGCTTTGCCACTTACGGCCTGAGGTTAACAGGCGAGTGTTTGTGCGCCCGCCCCTCCCCAGTTCGCCCCCCTAGGTCCATCTTTTGTTTTGGTGTCTTGGGGGCCGCTTTGACGATACAAAAAGAGACAACCGCTTTTTGGGCCCTAATTTTGAGACGAATCATTCTTTTGTGGGTTTTTAGGCTGGTTTACTTCAGGCTGGTTCAAAGGGGAGCAACAAGGAGAAGCACTACTTTTGGTGGGTGCCCCCATTTCGACACATACCCATGTGGGGGTGTCTTTTTTGGGGCACCCCTTGTTGGGAAACCAAAAGGAAAGCAGCCATTTTTTGGGGACTCACAATGTTGACTCCGTATTTCATCAACCCCAATTTATTTTTCTCCGAAACGAACGATTCCCCACTAAACCCAGAAAAACACCCCCGTCTTAATACACTGGTTGGTTGAAAAGTATGGGCTCCCAGCCATCCCCTTAGCTTTTACTTCGTGAGCCATCTCCTTAGTTTATATTTTTCCATTTAACCCTACTGAAAGTGAATAACTTTCGGCGGGGATCTGAGGACAGCCCGGAAAAAGTGAGCTTAGTTTCTTCCATCGCGGTTGCTCAGGAAGCCTATGACGTGAGCAGCCTCGGCTACGTCCCTCACGGCATCGCCAGGACCTTTTCGCCGGACCAGGATGGGATGTCACTCGGACGGATTGCGACCCGGGCACCTCCGGGACTGTTGACCATATTAATCAACCCCGGGTTATTCATAGGGGGCCTAGTCCAACTGGGTGACACGTGCTTGGAAGAAGATCACTTTTGGAGGGGTGTTCCAAAACCACCCCCCGGCAAATAAACAAACTGCATGGCGGGAGCTGCTTCTGCGGGCTGTCAAAGTCACTGGAACCGGTGGTTTCCCTTCATGCGGGGTGACTTTAGTGGGGTCCCTGAAATAGGGGACCAACAGTTGTGGTTTGGCCAAAACCATGCTATTTACAGCCGGAGCTGGAGGGAAATGTTGCTCACCGAGAATCCAATAACTGTTGATCTGACATTCTGAGCACACCCCAAGCCTCCAATGCTTCGATCACTTTCATTGGGGGTCCGGGGTATGCTCAAAAGCTTACTCAAAAAATATTGGAAAGGTTCCAGGAAGCAAGCATCGGGGTGCCTTTTGGTGCGTTTGGAGGCGGGTGGTTTACCCACAAATCCAAACCACCAATTGGTGGTGCCTGAAGGAAGCCTTTGGACACTTGTCTGGTAAGCTTCGAGAGCTCAGTGATGAAGGGTATCAACTGCCTTGCTGATGTGGGCTACGGCAAAACCCCACAACTTCAATCAAATGCCTTGGTGCTCTTGAAGGAATCGTCTTTCCCTTTGAAACCACAAAAAAAGGCACCAACTCCACAAAAGACGAGCCATCCAAGTAGGGCTTATTCCAATTGAACTCGCGACTCGGAAAATAATATTAATAATAATAGTAATAGTAATAGTAATAATAGTAATAATAGTAATAGTAATAGTAATGATAGTAATAATAGTAAGAGTAATAGTAATAATAGTAATAGTAGTAATAATAGTAATAATAGTAATAATACTACTCATAATAATCAAAGTAATAATAGTATACATATATATATATAAACAACGCCACAATGCAGAGCATGTTGGCAGCCGCTTGCATCAGAGGGACTCTCCCCCGAGAAAACGCTTCGAGTAAACGGACCTGTCTGGGACCCTTTTCCCCGGACAGACGGCTTGCGTGGGACACCGAGACTTTGGTCCCCGAACAAAGGCTCAGTTGCCCAAAGCGAATCGACCTTTTAACCTTTTGGTTTTCCAGTGTTGGTCCATTTTTAGTCATGGCCCCAAAAGGTGATCACCTTATATTTCTGGGTCCGAACTGGGCAAGTGAGAAGGGTGTCCACAAGTTGGATGGCGAGGCGTCGTTCCATCTGAGTCCTCCGAGTTTGCTGGAAACCGATTCGGGTTGTGGTTGATCACTCGGGGTTTGTCCAACCACTGTGATACTTCTGTTGGAATCTGCCCCCCTACGGGGTGTTCGTCTTTGGGGTGTTAGGCCCTTTTTGTAACGTATCACAGATTCGTGGCTTCCATTTCCCACTGCTCAAAGCCGATGCGGGGATTGATGAAGGGTAAGGGACTCCCTCCCCTCGCCAGAAATAGCGAAGCGGATCTCCGCCTTCGTATGTCCTGAAACAGCAAGATGCAAAGGGATCTGGACTGGGACCCACAAGGCCGGGATCTTTCAACCCGAATAACCGGTGCCTCAAAAAAGGCGCTCCCTGAGTTCCTGGACTTTCTATTTTTTGGGGTTTGGACCATTTTGGTGGCAAACAAAAAGCTTGGTGACTTTGTTTTGGGCCAATCCACTCGATCGGTGCTTCCCGTGTTTGAGGCTGTACCTCATCTACTACGTCTTCTGTGCTGCCTGGATTTTCGAGCCCCTCGCCAAAAAAGCGCTGGACAGGGAAGGTTATTTCGGTTGCAACTGGTCCCCTTTCATCAGGCAAGCCCTAAATGGTTGTTTAGATCGGAATTTGAACCCCTGGTTCTTGTGCAGGACAATTGGAAATCACTTCCTAACCTACGAGAGACGCTGATTTTAAACGCCGTCCAAGCGGGTCTGAATCCTTGGGATGGTTTTGTTTGCATTTGGGGGACCCCGTCAAAGAGGCCCAGCTTCTTACCTGAAGGAATTTGCCTGGTTTGAGACATGCCCAAATGAGAGTACCCCAAAATGGCGGCTTTGGCGTTCCTTTGTATTTCCCCTTAAAACCGCAACAAGGGGCACCAACTCCAAGAAAAGACACCCCCAAATGGGCCCCATCTTTGACCCGCCGAGTCATGTCAACGTTTTGGCAGCGGCACCAAAAGCGGCGAATCGATACACCAAAAAAGACCGGGCTGTTTAAGGCCTAAGAATCCAACGGAACGTTGGATGCCTGAAAAATGGCAAGTACACCAACAACTTTTGAGTCAGCGTGAAATGGAGTTGCAACCCTTTTCCCTCTCCTTGTGATGGTGACTGTTGGGCCCAAACCGATGTCCGAGGCGACCGATGTCCATGTCTAATTCCCGGGGTAAGGCAGGTTTGGGGTTCAAGTCCCCGCAACCTTCAAACACCACCGCTGTTTATCAATTGGCATCATGTCAATCCTCCAAAAAGGAATCGGTGTTTGCTATGGAAGAACCCACTTGGATCGCCAGTTGACATGACGCCTTTTGGTTTTACGCTTTAAAGCCACAAAATCCAGAGACCCTCCAAAAACCAGAAACATGGTTTCCGAATTGGTTTGCTTTCTTTTTTCAGGGCGCCGTATTATTTTCCAGACAGATTTTCTAGTCGAGTGAGCTGGCAGGCTTTTGAAAGTTGCCCCAAAACGCCAACACTTGGAGGTGTCTTGTAGGGGACCCTCGGAAATGGTGAGTAAGGGTACCCTCAGAAAAGAAGACACACCCACTTCTATTGTTGGAAAAATAGGCAATGGTATGGAGTAACGCTTAGTTGCTCGGACAGTATAAGACCTGGTCGCACCACCCAAGTTGGGCCCCCCAGGTACCACCGGGACAGCTCAAGCCGTCCCGTGGTTAACCTCAAACCAGTGCGACTATTGTTGGACAAATACCATGTAATTCGAAGAGAAGAGATCGACATGGCTTCTGGCTTTCCGCTGAGGATTTCTGCGTTGTGGCGTTTTCCAACTTTGATTTCCCAGAAACCCAAAGAGTACTTGGGTGTTCAACGTCCTCTCCGAAACACATTCCTGGCCCGGACGATTCCTGAGATGGAGCTGTTGGGCCGAGTCGAGGTGCATTCAGAGCCATGTGCTGCGTATTTCATGAGGAGGTATCATGGATGAGGTTTTCACGATTGAGCCCAAAGATGGCCGTGGTGAGTCCCCTTGTAAGCAGGTTATAGCCTCAGCTGAACATCCACCAGGTCCCCCAGGATCGTGCCCTTTTACCGTTTCTTTTTTGGCTGGGAGGGTTCGGGACCCTACTAAAATAGACAAAACTGAAAAAGAAGAAGAAACAAACAACATCCTACCAAAATAGACCACAGGAAAAAAAAGAAACATTCCCCTACTACATAAAATAGACTACAGAAAAAGAAGAAGAAGAAGAAGAAGAAAAAACACATCGGGACATTACCAACCTATTCTCACCTCTCAACTCTGGAGGACCCACTCCAAAGCGCAGAGCCGAGAGCCCCGAGAAGAAAACGGCCGGTTTCCGGGGGGCACGCCAGGCTGGTGCTGGCGCTGCAGCAGTTCGTCTGGGGCTCAGACGCGAAGCGCACGGGGAGCGGCGGAAGCGGCGGAGCCAAACCACCGGCCGGGCTGAGAGTTGTTCCAGTGGCTCCGATCATTTTTTTCCGACTTTTCTTCTTCTTTTTGGTGGCTGGCTAGAAACATAAAACGGTCCGAGCCCCAAAAAAAGGGTTCCCGTTTTTTTTTTTTTTTTTTCCGGGCACTGAACAACCGAGTGAGGGTTGGATGGCAAGGAGCCGGGGGGTATCCCATGCCTCGGGAGCATGGATCCGGGCCAGCTGTTCCTTTGCAGACAGCGGGAAGGCCCAGCGGTCATCTGCGGAATTGACTTTGGTACAGGGGGCCCCATTCATCTACCTGGACCCTCAAACTACCCATAAAAATTGGATATCACCCCATATTTTTGGGGGTCAAACCCATTTTTAAGGGAATTTTGAGGGTTCATCTATCCCTTTTGGCTTTACACGCTTTTTCGCACCTTTTGGCTTTACACCCTTTTCGCGCACCCACTGCCCAGTGTCCCGGATTAAATGGAAATTCACAGGTTTGGGGAGCCTATCAGCCCGGTCGAATCAACCTACCCCTTTGAGTTTCCCTTGGCAATCAGTCTTGGGAGGTCCCAAATTGGCACAAGAGCTTCAACTTCATTTCCAGTGCTGGGCAGAGTGCTTGAGACTACTAGTTAGTCTTTCCTGGGTTGCTCGCTTTTTAGATTCGAAGGATGCCCGTTTGAGGTTTTGAATGTTGAGACAGTATTTGGGACACGCAAAGTTCAAGCTGTGCCTTCTCCATTCTCTTCCAGGACCCTTCCTCTCAACAAATGGGCCAATCCCCTGAGAAAATGGCAGGTTTCTGAAGAGAACGCTGGATGAAGAGAATGGGGGAATCGGCCGTCTGTCATTGTCATCCTCACACAAGAGTTGGGTCACAGCCCAAACAGCGTGGCCCAAGGGGGCTCATCCCAAGGGGTTCAAATATCCAGCGGGCTCATCCCAAAAGGTCACATCCCAAGCAACCTCATCCCAAGCAAGCACCTCGCAAGGGGCTCAACCGCTTTGGACAAAATGCCCAGCACCTGTTGATCCCAGCAGGGGGGTTCGTCCAGCCCCTTGGAAGCGATTCGATCCGGCGGCCTCGCAACCGGCCAACTTTGAGTCCTATTATATTATGGGTCAAAACTAAAGCACAAGGGGGTTTTGCAGGTTTTTAGTCCTTCCATTTAGCAGGGCAACCCATTTTGGGTACCCATACGTATCCCTTTCCTTGTCCAAAGAGTTCTTCTACCCTTGCGTGTCGTAGCGAAGAGTAAAACGGCCACTTTGCTTGGGGCTGGTCGACAACCATGAGAAGGATGCCTGTTGAGGGAGCCGGGACTGTGGCGAGTGGGTCCCCCTAAGAATGACAAAGCAAATGCTACTAATGACGTAGATATCAAAAGGAAACCAAAGGCAATCCCGCCATGTTGTTTGGTCCCAGTATTTTAAACGAAAACACACGCATGATTGAGTTGTGAATATGGCTTCTTTGCCATCGTTCTGATAGGGGCAACCGTGGAACATCGTGGTTGTGGAAAACAGCCGCCATACTTGGTTGTTCGGCAAAGTTAGTAAGGTGTTTTTATCCTATGGTTATAACCCACATCGGAGTCTCCCGTTTAGAGTGCTTAACCCTGCTATTTTTGGCTACAACCCAAGCGGCTTAGCACTCACTGCGTGACCCAAGAAGCGCAAGAAGTGTATCTTTTGCCTTGGCTCGTCGCTGGCCAAGTGAGTACTGTAAGAGCCTTGGTACCTCCAATTCTCAGTTGTTCAAAGCCGACCTTTTGACCTTTTGGTTTTCCCTTGTTGGTCTATTTTTAGTAGAGGTCCCAAAAGGTTAACTTTTTATCAACAGGTCCTTTGGGCAACTGAGAATTGGTTCCTGGAGATCTTAAGCCTTCTGGATGGGAGCCAACGCAGGGTCCTGTTTGCTTAGCTCACAAAATGGAATCCGGGAAAGGGCACCGCGGTATGGAGGCGCATCGTTTTTCAGGGTAATTACACCTTCTCTGTTGGCTTACCGGAAAACCAAAAGGAACACCACCGTTTTGGGGGTCCCCCTACAAAGACACACCCATGTGTGGAAACAGGCAAAACACCTTCATAACCCCTGTTGAATTTGATCCACGCCCATTTCCCACCAAAAAGCGGGGTTGTTGCACTTCTCGGCGCGAGGTCGTAGCATACACCGTGCAAGTTTGGTACAACTCCCCCGTGAAAGACGGCAAGAAGCGGGCGCCAGCCTCAGCGGCGGAGTTGTTTTCGCGGGGCCTGGGAAACATCAAAGCCGCCAGATTCCAGGCTAGCCAGTATCTCAGTTGCCCAAAGCGAATCGACCTTTTAACCTTTTGGTTTTCCAGTTTTGGTCCGTTTTTAGTCATGGCCCCAAAAGGTCAACCTTTTATTTCTGGGTCCTTTGGGCAAGTGAGGTATAGTGCGTAACCAGGGATTTTCCTCTTGGGTTTTTTACAGGGTGGTCCCCTTGGTTACCTACAAAACCAGGTAACTGGATAAGACCGGGTGCAGTATCTCGCCCTCTTACTGCCGGACGAAATCCGATTCTCAGCAGTTGGGATTAGTGGGTCCACCAGTATTCAACTCGGCTTCCATCGCTGGTGCGATTTGTGGATTTTTCGTCCCACAGTACCCCAAATACCTCCTAAGGCGCCCAAACCCCGAGCTGACGTTTGGTTCGGCAACATGGGACCCATCCCAACAGGTGCCAATCGTAGGTCGTCCCTCCGCTCTCCTTGTTCACCGGTAGCTCCAAAGCTCCAAAGCTCAGACCCAATGCCCAGCCTTCCATTTGCTTATAATTAAAATCTATCAGTACCGGAAAAATACTATGTTTCCCAGACTTAAGCAAATGGAAGCAGCCCATTTGCAGATCCGAGTGACCTCTTAACCCTTCCATCGGAAGCCCCCGAAAACGGTAGACAAGGACAAGGACATGGAATCGCTGGTTTCATTTGACCCAATGGAATGCATCGTGCACGACCGACGGTGTGTATCCCCCTTTCCCTACGAAAGGGACATGGAATCACAGGTTGCATTTGAGATCTAGGGCTCGAGAACAGGGGCCGCCCAATGGAATCCACCGTGCGCAAAATTGACGTGTCAGTATCGGTCTTTTTTTCTCGGACATACTGTGGATGCACGAAATCCATTTCGCACCACCGTTCAGAACCCCTTGGAAGCATTCGATTTCCCCAACCGACAAAAAACGAGGAAACAATCAAACAAGTGGTGAAACTCGCGGATTGTTTGCTTCAGCTTCCGTGAACAACTCGGGAGGTGCGGGTCATCTTTCACCCCCCGGGCGTGGTTTCATTCCCATGGTTTCATGACCCGGTGGTGAAATCGAAAGTTGATTTTACAACCATCCTCAGTAAAAATCGAGGAGTCGGGGAGGCATCGAGGAGTCGACTCCATAAAATCGGGCAGTTAGTCAGGGCGTTCGGGGAGGTTAGGAACGGTTAGGGTCATCTTTCAGCCGGGCGTCGTCTTCCTATCGTCGAGAGTATAGGTGTCTTGTGTGTCAAAAACGTCGAGAGCATAGGATCCCTTCGGTGAACTCAAAACTGGATTTCGTGGCCTTCCACAAAATCGGAGGCGCCCAGGCCTCCGAGTCCCAGTTCGGGGAGGCGAATCGAGAAATCGGACTCGGAGGACTCGGAGTTGGGGGGAGTCGTAGGTGCCCTGCTGCCCCATCACGCGTGCCTTCTTCATGGGCCTCACCTACCATCTGGGCTCCCTCGCCTTTGGAGCGGCCGGGGGAGGGGGCGGGGGAGGACTTGGGGTGGTGGATTCGGAGCCAGCGGAGTGGTCCGGTTCGACTTTGGTGCTGTTTTGGCGGTGTTTTAGTGGTGATTTAGTGTGTTTTAGTGGTTTTCTAGTGGTGTTTTAGTGGGTTTGAGTGGGTTTCGTTTTTATTTTTTGTGGTTTTTAACATAGTCTTTAGTTGGTCAAACATGTGGTTGGGTTTCCACCAAACCAGATCCCTCGACATTTGGGCCTTGAAATGAGGTCCGAACACCGAATGGAGATCCGGAGCGGGCTCTACAGTGGCGACATACCGGGAAGCTCCGTACTTTCTTGGCGCCCGCCTAGCCAGGCCTTATTATATTTTTTTTCGAAGCCCGGAAGAGTTTAGAACCTGGTGTTCGCGGCGCATAAGCATCCTTGGGATTTGAAGACAGGCAGGTTCCCTTTATAGCCAGGGGTGGGTTTAGCGGGCTTCCCGCATATGGCCGGCCTATCGAAGCGGCAAAAAGCGGAAGACACTGAATGAATCAACCTCCCAACTCCCTTGCATGCGGGAGATATTCCCGCATCTACCTTGTTGATGATAGTGACGGGCGGCTTTTCGCGTTGGGTGTTTGTCCTGTTTGTCATGAGCTTGGGTGCGCTAGCGCAGCCCAGTTCAGACTATATGAACATGTGCTGCTCCAAGCTGGTTGTTGAAGTGTTGGAATGGAGCTGCTACCTGATATCTATGGTGGCCCGCATCGGGGTCACACTTTGGACAGCTGGCTGGTCTTCTGCGAGGGTATGACGCTGTCAATTATGACTGTTCTGCGTCGGGCTTTGTATGGCGGTTTTTTGCTGTTGAGTTGGTCCTACCTGGCCATTTCCTACTGCGCAAACACGCTCGAATACAATCAGCTGCAGATAGACAACATGTCACACAGGCGTGCGCGGAGGCTCGCCTGCAACGTGTGCACCACACCTTTGTGATGTCAGTGATGGTATAAGGACCTACCCCCTAGGATTGGCAAAGCCAAAAGCAAGCCACATTTGTTTACATACCATTATGAGTGTGTATCTTGTCGAGGCTGCCCTTTCTCAGGTTTCAGGTTTGGTTTTATTGGGACGCAAGGAAAATCACGTTTCCGTGTGTTTATGTGTTTTCTTTCTCTTTTTTTTAAATATGGTATTTATTGTTTGATTTTTTTTTTTTTTGGGGGGGGGCAGGGGGGAACCGATTCTTATCTGATTTGGGTGTGCCTTTTTGGGGGATCCCCCCCCAAACAAAATGGGGGGGGGGGTTCTTATACCACCTACCAACAGGGGTTACAACTCCAGAAAAGACACACACACACACCAGTTGGCGATCCCAGCCGCAAAGTTTTTTTTTTTTTTTTTTTTTTCCGGTTGGTGTCCCTCTAAAGCTTACCAAGAAGGGGGGGGGTAGCAACTCCAAAACGGCTCACTTCCTGAGTTAAGGCATACCCCAAGCTGAATCGGTCCCTGCCAATGCGGTAGGTCCTGCTGGCACTACTGCGTGTGGTGTATTTGGTGGTGGCCTTCATGCAAAGCCAGGCAAAAGCTCCGCTGGGATGGAATCGAGGCTTTCCATTTGCGTGGTCCCAGCCATCCCCGAAGGGCTGTTCGGGGGGCTCCAGTTTTTGTTTGAAAAACTGGGTTCTTTTTGGGTTTATTAGTTGGTTTAGTGGCAGTTTCCATGTAACCCACTTAAGTTAAACTTTTAGCAGGGGATCTGAAGACAGCCCAGTCATATCTTCATGGACGAAATCCATCTCGCGCCTTTCAGAAGCCCAATGGCATGATTCGATGCCACGCAAATGCCAACAATGGTCTCAACTGCCCTGGCTTCATTTCGTGGTGAAATCGAACGGATCTAAACCGATTTTGTGGCCTGGCCGCTGGGGTGGCCCCAACGCTTCTCCTCGGGTACCCCTCCCTCAGCCAACGGCTGTTGAACCCTCCGCGGGGGGCGCGGGGGGGCGGGTTCCGTTGACGTCACCTGAGTCCTCATATCAAAACCTCCTTTGAGACATGGGTGTGTATCTTTTGCTACCCTGAGTGGGTAGCTGAAAAAGGCATACCATCATTTTGCGAGTCCCCAAATACACAGACACCCAAATGGTCTGCCCAATTTTGAGAATTGGCCCGTGTAATTATCTTGTATGTCGTACGTGCTAAAATGGTCTGCCCATCATCTACGATGTCTACCCGGCAAAGAGTTGCTTCAAGATTGCTATGGGCTATGTCTGCAGTAGAGCCCTTTCTCACCCCTTTTTTGGGTGTTGTTCCCCTACTAAAATAGATTCCAGAAAAAGAGACGGTGCCCTTATTCTAACCTCTCTGCTGGAGGACCTGGGGACCTTGTGCTTCTGCCAATCCTTCCCCTTGGCCGCAAAAGACAGCAAAGACAAAAGTGGGCGAAGGTTGGTTGGACCTGCGTTGCCTTCGCGCTGTAGAAATGGCTTGGATCTGCGTGGGGTCCGCCGAATCCGTTTCCGTTTCCCCCAGGTGCGGGCACAATCACAATCTAGCGCCGACGAAGTCTAAGAGGTGCCTTAGGCTGAAACCCGACTCAAATGTAAAGGCTTACACAGATCTTACCGTGAATTGGAACTCCCAGTGCAATGCTAAGTTAAGTACAAAATGCGGAACCCCATTCTAACTATTTTTCCCATCATGATTATCTGATAGTACTCAGATTTTGACTGATTGCCACATCAGTCTGTGCATGGACAACATCCTGCAACGCCAAAGAAACCATATTAATGTTGGCACTTGATTAATCAACCGGGCTGTACTAATGGACTGTTTTTCCCCCTTTTTCTGGTTCGCACCCATTGTTGAGGGGGACCAGACCAATTGACAGTTTTTTTGCCCGGCGGGGGGGGGCCTTTATTAATCAAGTGCCAACATTAGTACGTTGGTTCTGCTACCTGGCTTTCGCGGCACAGTTCTTCGCGCTTCGCGCTCGAGTCGCGCGGCGCGGCGCGGCGGCGCGCAGGCCAAGAAGACGGGAGATGAGAAGACCAATGCCGTTGCCTCAGACTCTTGCGGTCGCAACGTCGTCGGAACGTCGGAAGGTCGGAAGCTGCTGGGAAGTTCTGAGGGTGTTTGCTTGGCATGCCAAACGAAGCCAGTGGGTCCATTTGCCTTTCTTTTGGTGGCAGGTAACCAAAGGGTTTCCCACCCAATAGGAAAGCCAAAAGGTTTGTTTCACCCTTTAGAAAATCCACAGGAACATGAATCAAAGGGTTGCCTACCTTTTGGGGCTTGCCTGGGATCCACGGGGACCACATTTTCGGTGTCCAGGTGCGTGGGTGTATCTCATGTTTTTTTTGCTAATTACCCCTTTTGGAAAGCAAAATCCAAACCCATGGGTCACTTCACGCCATCCTTTTGGCCAGTCAAGGACAAGCCCCGGCCCATTTGCCAACAGCCAAGTTCGCATTTTCCGACCTCGTCGTTTTATTAAACAACAAATCTACCCAAACATAGCAACTACTGTTGGAGGAGACCCCATTTGAGTTGTAAGATTGCAAAAGTTGGAGGAGACCCCATGTTACCACTGTTGGAGGAGACACAGCAACTGTTGGAGGATTCCAAATGAGTTGTAGCATTGCGAAAGCAACATAATGTCTGATTCAGATGATTGCCATCATCCAAATTGAGTCCTTGCCATTCTCTTAATGGAGGGCAAGGAACCCAAGGGTCAAGGGGTGAGACACTTCGCGATACTTGTCGTTTCTTCTTGTTTCTTGGGCCATGCTGATTTTGGTCCTCAGACGGGCCATCCTGGAGCCCCTGATGACGGATCCGGAAAGAGTTGCCAGGAAGGGAACCCGTTGCAACCGCCTGTGGATTGGATTCCTGGCAAAGGCGGCTAGGCCTTGCCCAAATCGGAAAAAAAAAAAAAAAAACACAAGAGCTGAACGGATCGAAGGGTTACGCCGCGCCGCGGCGAAAGGGATCCCTGGGATCCACTGGGTGCGAAAAGGGGCATCCGAATCGTCAGAATCCGGCAACTGTCCCACGGGACCCAAACCAGACATCATCCACCAGGATGTTTGTGAAAGCTATGGCCTCTGGAGGGTTTGGGGCAGCTTTCAGGGAGGAGGGCTGCTGAAAATACCCCCTGGGCCTATGTTTTTTGTTCCGGAACGGATCACGTTTGTGAGCAGGCAGGGGGGATGACCATTTCGCCACCAAAACCCAACTCCTCAGCTGCCCAAAGCGAATCGACCGGATCTGACCTTCTGGATGGATGTCCCATCCATGGTCAGTCGAGGGTCCCAAAAGGTGATCACCTTTTATTTCCAGGTCCCTGAAGCGCAACTGAACAACAGATCGCAAACGAATCGCAAACTTGGGCCAAGCAGAGGCATCCACTGTACTGGGTGTGTCTTCTTCGGTCGGGCACCCCTCAAACTTGTGATCTGCCTTGTGGTTTCCATCTAGAACCACCAAAAAAGGCTAGATAGCCTCACCCCAGGGTTCAACCCCCACCAAAAGAACGGCAAGGACCCAATTGGCCGACGACAATCCTCAGGCGTAAGCATTTGTGGTTGTACTTTGGATGGACAACTTTGAAACCATGGTTGAAACCCTACCGTTTGTGGGAATTTGCAGGGGGAAATAGAATCATTCCAGTATTTCTTGGGTGGTGCGAGAAGCAGATTTCGCAACCATCCACCTTTGTTTTAATGGTGGTACTGTGGATGGACGAAATCCTGCACCAAGAAAACCTGGAATGCTTGAATTCCCCTGTAAACACCGGAGGAAACGTTGTAGTTTCATTCCCATGGTTCCCAACTGGTGCGCAATGGATTTCGCAACCATCCACAGTAACTGAACCCGTGCAATGGTGGTTCTCTGAACCCGATATCTTTGTTTTAATGGTGGTGGCTAAACCAACCAGGGCTCAAGATGTCCACCTAAAACCACAAAACATAGGAAACCACATACCCTCCAAAAAGAACACCAGGTGCTGAAGATGTCCATCTAACACCACAAAAAAGAAGGAACACCATGTAAAAACCACCAAACAACCGGGGAAAACACTACCCTCAAAAGAAGAGACGCAACCCACATAGGTTTTCCTTGTTGGTTGTTTTGGTGGAAAAAAACGATGGCGATTCCTGGCTTACCTGGTGGTTAAATCATCTACCAGGGCCATCTATGTGCCCTAAAAGGACACCTATCCAAGGGTAACTCCCCCATTCTTTCCAGGGATCCGAATCTTTGTAGAAAACCACCTTTGAATCCCTGGGGAAATGGCGATCGGTTTTGGAGAAAAGAAGGCTGGCTGAAAAGAATGGAAAAGGACAGTCAACCCCTAGAATTTTTCCCTGGCAAGGTTAACCCCGGATTCATCAACCCGTACCTACTAATAGGGCGGGTCCCGGCTGAAAAGAATAGGGCTAATCACCCCCTAGAGACTCAGCTCCGGTGGACCGAATTTCCAGCTTGGACTCTGGGACTGGGCGTCCAACCTGGGAGGTACCTGAACCCTCAAAATTCCAACTTAAAAATGGGTTTGACCCCCAAAATTATGGGGTGATATCCAATTTTTATGGGTAGCTTGAGGGTCCAGGTATAGAACTTCTGGTTACCCAGGGCTCCTTAAAAAGATCGATCCATTTTGCACCCGTTTGAAGTATGGCAATTTTTCCCACCGGAAAATACGGGGAAACCAGCATTGACAAGTTGCAATGTTCAGGTGTTTTTCATGTAAGGATCCTTGTTACCCCCTAGAACCTACGGCAACGCCACGGGACGTCCGGCTCAAAGGCGCTGGCTCTCTCGAAGCCGCCGTGAGCGCAGCCGAGGCTGCGGCCAAGATGGCCACGGCCTGCTGCTGCTGCTGCCTGGACTGCGCCCGGCAGGTGCTGAAGTACCTGAACTCAGGCGCCGGTTCTGAATGGATCTGGTACCTGGTTTTCTCTCCTGAGGTTCTTTTTGACTTTGGGTCACTTTTGGGGGGACGCGACGTACGATCTGGTGCCTCGTTGTCTCCCTTCCTGAGTTCCGGATGTCGGATTTTTACGATCTGGTGCCTCATTTTCTCACTGACCTGAGTTCCGGAACTCGGATTTTGGGTCACTTTTTGGGGGGGGTTGGACCAGTTTAGCGGTAAATAACGAGTTCAGTCTTTAATTAGCCAGTCCCCACTCAGGAAGTGGGTTGTGGAGGGTAATTAAGGCACAATCCCTCGCCATAAGTGGGTGCGGAGATCCGCCTTTGGTTGAAGCATGGTTCTGGGCTTGGACCAGTTTGATACCGGTTTTCGATTGGGGTTTATTTTGTCTTGGGTGTATTTAGTCTTATTGTTTTTCCCCTCTGTTTTTTTGCTTGGGGCGGGGGGGGGGGGGGAAAATGGTTTCGATTGGGGCTCTTTTTGTCTCATGGCTCTCTTGTTTTTGGGCGGGGGGGGGGGGAAATGGTTGTTGTTTCCCTATGGTCTCCCTTTAAAAAGGCCACCCAAGAAACGTACTCTCATTCTTGAGGTTCCCCTTAAAGACCCTCGTTCTTGAGGTGTTTCTTGAAGGGTCTGCTTTTTAAGGGGAAACCAAACGGAAGGCAAGCACATGGGTCTCGAAGCACCCATGTTTTGGCGGAGCGGCTCCGTGTTTTGACTGGCTGGGTTTGTTCTCTTACTCGGTTTTGGTTTTGGCTGTGGTGGGGCTTTTTTTTCCGGGAAGGAACGAGTGGGGACCCGGTTTTGCAAGACCAACCGGGAACAGCTCCTACCCTCCCCATCGTCCATCTTCCGGCGTCCGTTCAACTTCCATTGCTTGGGTACTCTCCTGCAATGGGGAATGAACAACTCACTTCTCCCATGGCATTGGTGGAGGAATCTCCTTTTGAGAAATGGGCCCCAACAAGGGGCATGTGAAACAGAATACACCCGGAAAAAACAACAACAAAACCGTAAGCTTTCATCAGGGCTCCTTGAAAGATGCATTTTGCCCAATTGAAACATGGCTTTTTCCACGAAAATAAAGGGAAACCACCATTTACGAGGCAATGTTCAGGTGAACAATGTAAGGATACCTGTTTTTGATTCAATGCAAAGTTCGTATGAATTTGGGTAACCCCATTTACCTTGGCGGTTGCCAGCCGTTCGGTTCCTTAGGTTTCCAGCTTTTGTTTGGTTTAGTGGTTGGGTTTCCATTTAACCCACAAAAGATTATTCACTCTTAGCAGGAGATCACCGCCAAAGCTATGTTTTTTTTTGCTTTGGGGCAGAATTAGTATGGAACAGAATATCAGAGAAGTATGTTTTTCTGTGTAGCAAGATGTGGGCCAACTAAATGGCGTCCACGTGTCCGGGTCCATCAACATTCACCCCCATACTGTGGATGGACGAAATCCTGCATCGCTTTGAAACCATGGCAAACCATTGTTTGTTGGCATTTGCAGGGGGAATCGTCATTCCAGCGTTTCTTAGCTGCAGAAATTTCGTCCATCCATATGAACATCACCTATGCCAGGGGCATTTGTCATGGTCGCAGTCAACTCAGACGGCTACTGCACCGGAGCCGACAGGCACAGCTCCGGTTGAGTTTGCTGAGTGGGTTTTACAGGTTGGCGGGCGTTGGTTTCCTTCGTGTCGGTTTCTGCCCGGTAATATTCTCGTGATGACATGCCAAATGGGGGGGGGGTTCTAAGGGCCAACAAAAGCATACCCCAAATGGACATACCAAACAAAATGAGTGGTTTGACAAGGGTTATACAGGGTGCATACCCCCAAATCTATCCCTATATAAGGCCTATAGGTGGGGTATGTCCATTTGGGGATGTTGGGCATATGGTTGGATCATATTGTTTGGGAGCCATTGGGTTTTTGCGGCCCAGGAAAATGGCCCGTTTCAGTGGGGGATCGGTTGCTTCTTGGATCGGTGCGCCTTTTCTAATAAATTCAGGCCGATGCGTCGGCACTCTTCCTTAACTGGGTAGCTCGTTGTTTTGTGGAGGTTCCCTTTCTTCCTCAACTGGGTACCTGAACCCTCAAAATTCCCACTAAAAATTGGTCAAAGACCCCCAAAGTTATGGTTGGTGATCTCCCATTTTGGGTAGTTTGAGGGTCCCTGCATAGCGCGTGGTTTTGTGGGATCGGTTCCCTTTCTTTGGTGGTGGTCAAGGGAAGCCAGAAAGAAGCCCGGCATCTTGGGGCGTCCAAATCAACTGAACGAGACACTCGCTGCCTGAGGTCATGAACTTTAACAAAGCTACGATGTGACGAGGGATTTAACGAGGTGACGAGGTGACGAGGTGACCACGGATTTAACGAGGCGAGGCGCACACTCCAAAATCTGATTTAACAACGAGGTGACGAGGTAAGATTTATTGCAAATTGCCTAGATGGATGTGTCGTTTTGTTGGGGGACGTGGTTCTCCTTTTGGTTTTCCTTTGAAACCCACCAACAGCAGAGGTACCAACTCCAAAAAATGACAGACCCAAGTTCTTCGAACCTCCTCGTACATCTGCAACTTGGCTCTCGCGTTGTCTTCCTGGTTTCCGAGGGCTGCTTCAGATAACCCAGAAATCTTCCATTTGCTTACTAGCATGTTCTATTTATTCCCCCTGTTCAATTTAAAGGGATCTAGCACTACTGGACGCATTTTCAATTTTCCCGGTGAAGTTGGTCGCTGGCTTGGATTGGTGTTTTGGATTTGGATTTAGCCCCCTAGATCCTGTCGATGATGTAAGGGTTTCCACTCAACAACATCTCCAAAACACCAATCCAAGCCACTAAGGAAGAGACAACTGGAATCGGGAATCGGGAATCGAGCCCTAGCTTCCATTTGCTTCTATGTTTTCCCCTGTTGCTTTTATTGGGGATCTACTGTGGATGGACGAAATCCTGCACCACTTTGAAACCATGGGAAACCATTGTTTGCTGGTATTTACAGGGGAACCATCATTCCAGGGTGTCTTAGGTGGAGGATTTCGTCCATCCACAGTATCACTACTGGAAAGATGTTTACTCTTCCTGGGGACTTAAGCAGATGGAAGGTCTTTGCCCTTCGTGAAGGTTTCAATAGGCTTATGCTTGAATGTGACCACATCGCCAGAGGCCTTTCGGATACAAATTAGGCTTTTCCGCTAGGAAAACCTCGCCCCCCCAGATCGAAGAAAGATGCCCCAACATCCAATTAAGACTCCAAGACATCTCGCCCCAACATCGTGAATAGACGTCGCTCAACCTACCAAAGCTCTGTAACCAACCACCTTTTTCCCTCCGGTGAGGCCAAAGTTGGGTCAAAGTTGGTACGCAAAGTTCGGGACTGGGACCTTGTAAGAAGCCTTCCTCAGTTTCTGGGGGCGAACCATTTCCTCAGTTTTTGGGCGCGAACCAAGTTAGCCGGGGTCACCTGAGATTTCCATCCACTCATCATCTACTTTTTGCTCAGCAAACAGGTCTTTCCGTTTGCCCCCGCTTGGTTGTAACAGGGAAAGATGCCCCCCCCCCCCCCGCCAATTTAAAGCAGTTTTTTTCAAATGTTCCAAACAAAAACACAAAACAACAACACATAGCAAGAAAGGAAGTCAACTTCCAAGAAGCCCATAAGCCACAGAGAGCCACCGAGGCCCCTCCCCCCCGTCCCCCCATCCTCGCGCCTGGCCTTCCGCGCTTCCGCGTTCCGTCCGTTCGGCTCGCCCTCGCTCGATGTTTTGGAGGGCGCTGCGGTACATGGCCTCGGAGTTCGTGGCCATCGGCGCCCTGGAGGGCAGCACCTTCTTCTTCCAGGCGCGGAGCCGATCCTCGGATCGGCGCGCCGAGGCGCGCTCGATGCGGAGCCGCGCGGGAGGGAGGGCGAGGAAAGCGGGGAGAACTGGGCGTGTTTGCTCGGGGGAGGGGAGTCTTGTGGACTAGGTTTGCGGAAGGAAGAGAGAGATGAGATTTGGAATGGGGGGGGGGGTTGGGGATGGCGACGTCTTGTTGGTTGAACATGGGGCTTGGTCCCCTGACCATGGTTAGCTATGAGGCGAAGCGCTTTCGTTCGCGGGGTCATCAATAACCATTTATTTACAGATGGTTTCCCAAACAGATCCATTTTCCCCGGTCTATTCGCAAAGAAAAAGTGTTTTTGGGAAACCGTGTGCAAATGGTTGTTTCGGGTTCCAGGAACAAATTCATGGAAGGATCCCAAAAAGGGGGTCCATTTCCCAAAAGGAGTTCCCTCTAATGGTTGGTTGCGTGTTGATCTGGAGGGTATTTGGAGCATTTGACATCGGAAGCTGGTGGGTGGTTTCCCTTTAGCCACCCGCTTGGGGGGATGACTTTGGTAGAATCACTCGCCATCGAAAGGCGAGTGAGACGCTAGTAGGGCTCTTACAACGGGCTTTGACACCATGAGCCATGATCAAAACCCGGGTAGATGAAGGTTAGTAAGGGACAATCCCCTTGCCATAAACAGCTGCGGCCGCCTTCTTAATTCTTTACAAGGTTCTGGGTCGACCATTTTACTACCGGATTATGACCCATGTGTTAGTCTCAAGTCCCGTTTTCTTCGGGGTTTGTTGGATCTGAATCGGGTGTTTTGTCGAAGGGGGTGCTTCTTCTTCTTCTTCTGCTTCGTCTTCTTCTTCTTTTTTTTTGGGGGGGGGGGGACGTTGCGAAGTTTCTAAGGCGCTTGTTTGGTTATGGGTTTTGTTCATGTCTTGTGGTTAAATGTTCGGGGGCAACCCCAAATTTCTCAGACAGCCGGCGGGTGTTCTCCAGAGTTTTTGGCAGTGGTATGGGGGTGTTCCATTCTTTGGCTTCCACGTTTTGTCTCCGGCGTTGTTTTCCTTATTTTGCAGGGGGATGGCGGATTCGGGGTCTGCTTTTTTTGGAGTTTTGGGGCTTTGGGCTATTTTGGTCATGCACGGTGTTCTAGTTTGGAAGGTTTTGGGGGTTTGGTGGCCGTTTTATTGTTGTTCGTAGGCGTCGTTGCTCATTGTTTGTGGGTTTTGGGGTTTTGGGCGGAGGGCGGGGGGGCAGAGCCAAGCCGCAACAACACATTTTGGAAACTTCTTCTGGGGGCGGGTTTCCCCCTCAAAAGTCAAACAACACAAAGGGCGCCTTTTTTTTTCAGCATGGCCCGCATCCAGGGACTGCCCCATGCTCAGTGCAGGCTGGCAATCCTTAACCTTTTTATTTGCTGGACAATATGTTTTGTTTGCGTAGCTTCCCAAGCGATGCAAGCGAGACACACAGGTGGTTGAGATCACACATGCGGCGTTGGAAAGCGAGGAGAGTGAGTCCAAACGGGTGCGGGCTTTGAGAAACAAGTCGGGTGTTTTACGACTATGACTATGAGTAATTGTTTTAGAGATTATTTTAATTATTAACAAATCGTATAACCTTTACTTAAATTGAACATTATTCAACCACCACTTCCCAGCGCTTCCAGGTGCTCGTTTAGTTGGTACTTTTGCAAAGTGCCCCTTGAACCAGCGCTTCAAGAGGCTGGCTTTCAACACCGTCGGAAAGGTGCGTGAGCAACCCGTGAAAGACCGAAAAAAAAACGTGCAACCAGCGTGAGAAAAGGCGCGCTTCGTTGACTCATGCTATTGCTCCCAAGACCGTTCGTTTATCAAACGGGCTCGTTTAACTTGTCCTTTGGACTTGCTGGGACTTTGAAACAAGGGGACACCATTTTTTCTAATTACAGGGGAACCGTATCATTCCAGACTTTCTTGGTGCAGGACTTCGTCCTTCAAACATCGATGGCCGGCAAGGGGGCCACGTTGAAAAGCCACAGAAGGCTTGCCTGGGATCTAGTGCGTTTGTTGATTCCCAGTAAATCTATTTTTTCCTTGTTTGATGATGCCCTTTTTGGGGGGTGTTTAAAGAAAACAACCCCTATTTTGAGGACCTTTTTCTTGTACCTCAGCGCACCCAGTGGTTCCATTTACCTGGTAAAGGCAGCTATCTACTCGTTAGTGACCTACAAAAAAGAGGCGAAACGGATGGCTGGGATCTGCTCAGATCCACTGTGCTTTTCTCTTTTTTTCTTTTCTTTTCTGATGGTACCCTTTTTGTTGTAAAGGATTACCACCGGAAAACCACACCGGACCATGGAGGGTCCGAGTCCTATTTTTCAGACAACCCATTTAGGGGCCTGGGGTTGAAGGGCTTGCCACCCTTTAAGAACCAAAAGTTGGTTACAACCTACTCTAGGGAACGGTCTGGGTTTGCGGTTGGTGTGGATCCACCAACCTGTAGGATATCAAAGGAGTACCAAAACAGTACTCCAAAAAGTGACCCTTCAAACGGAGGACACTTCGGTGAAATCCACAAAACGGCGCAAATCCAAACTCCCCACCCCCGTTTCCTCGCAAAAAGATCCTCAAAACCAACGGCACAAATCCAAATCCACCAACCGTGTTCCAACGAACACCTGCCGTGCCCCAAAACAAACGTGCCCAACGCGCGAAAATAAACACAAACATAGAAATAACATAAAAAGGGAAAAACAGGAAAAACCTGAAAACAGAAAGAAAGCACCATCCACCGCTTGCGGCGAGCAAGCGACGCCCGGGCCCCGGCCTTGCGCCGTTGCCCGGCCTGGCGTCGGCCGAAACGCCCTCGGCCGCCGAAACGATTTTCGCCATGGCGCCCATGGCGCCAGGTGCTGGGGAACATCGTGATCCCGGGCTCGGGGGGGTACTTCACCTACCTCGTGGCCTGGGGGTCCCAGAAATGAAATGCGAATTCGAGGAGAACCCAGAACGAAGGCCTCAAAAGCAAAAGGCTCGGAGGGATCCGGTGTTTTTTTTTTGGGGTTTGGGGGAAGAACAAGGTTGGGGGTGTGGCTTTGCGCTTTCCTTTTGGGCTGCGATGATAGTTACCATCATGATCATCATCGTCATCATCACCATCATTACCATCATCACCATCATCATCGTCATCACCATCATCATCGTCATCATCGTCAACGTCATCATCATGATCATCATGGTGATCATGGTGATTATCATTATCATCATCACAACTATGATCGTCATACTGCGGTGGTTCGTTCCGCAAGTTAAGTCCATCGTTCCGGTCGTCAAGAAGAGGAACCCTGAAAGTTGGCCCTTTGGAGGTCTACCAAAAAAGATGTGGATGGACAAAATCCATTTCGCACCACGTTGAGACCATGGTTGAGACTATTATTTGCTGGTATTTAAAGGGGAATCAGACACCAGGGTCTCATTTTTTCGGTGCGAAATGGATTTCGATTTCAACCATCCACAGGGGCGTGGAGTGCAGACCTTGCGAAAGCTGGAGAGATCCAACACGCTTGGTGGCTTCCGGTCATGCCCGCCCTGAGCGTTTTAGTCATTAGGTTTTTTCTTTTTCTTTTTTGACGTTTTGATAGAAAACTAGATGGGTTTCCCGGGTTTACCTGGTGGTGTATCATCTACCAGGGAAACCCATCTATTTGCCCTAAAAGGACACCTATGGTTTCATCTTTTGCAGGGTTTAATGGGCGGTTCCCATTGAACCCACTAAAAAGTTAAGCTTTGGGGATCGCCCAGACTGGTGCAACTTCCAGTGTAGCTGTCCTTCCAGTCCACTTCGCACGAGCTGGTGCTTTTTCCCAGTTTGGGGGCTTCATCCATCCCAACTGCAGATTTCTTGCCACCTGGATCTCCAGCTGCCCTTATTTTCCAGCTACTTCTGCGGCTACCAGTGGGTAAAGTGGCTGGAGCAAGGTGGCTACTTGGGGATCCAGGCATCCGGATTTGCCCCAGACCAGATTGCAGCACGGCTCGGCATTTCATCAGCCCACTTTCTTCTCCCCACATCTACCCCAAGGAATGTGTGGAAGGAGGGGTACCACATCCATTCCTTTGCCGCGTGGATTTCTGGAAGTTGTAGTGGCTCTTCCGCAAGACCTTCCAGACCTTTCAATACTCTGGATGGTTGCGAAATCCATTTCGCACCGCTTGGAAACCATGGTTGACACCATTTTTCGACCGGCATTTGCAAGGGGATCTATCATTCCAGAGTGTCTTAGGTGGTGCGAAATGTATTTCGTCCATCCACAGTATCCCCCAAGCCCCGGCGAATGAGCCAAGTTGCCTTCGCTTGTTTTTTTCCCAGACAACGAAATACCCCAACACCGTCACAGCCGATGGCTGAAAAAAGACGCAGCAACGCAACTTGGCGATCCAGGCTTTGGGGAGAAAACGGCACCGCAGAGAGGGAGATCCTACGCGAGGGTTCAGTTGGAGTTCACGTTTTGGCCCCTCGTTTCGGTTTTTCCGCTTTTGGCATCAAGCGGAAATTGTGATGACTTGTCGATAATACTGCCTTTTCGCCCCTACTTGGATCTTTAAGCTACAGAGTGAATAGATGGTAACCACAATATGATATAGCCATCAGCTTCAGAAATGGGGGTGTCTTTTTGGGGGGACCCCTCAAAATGTTGGGTTTTCCATTGGTTTTCCTTTGAAACCAAACTAGGAGTACCCTGTCCACTTAAGCTTTAAAGCTAGCAAGACTAACCCCACTGAACGGGTGACTTGGAATTAGGTCATAACCTACTGTGGATGGACACAATTCTGCACCACTTTGAAACACACGAGAAACCATTATTTGCTGGCATTTACAGGGGCATGATTCTTCCAGGGCCTCTTAGGTGGTGCAGGATTTCGTCCATCTAGAGTAGGTTGCCAACAACTTACTAACCTGTCCACCACCCACGCAGCGCGCCTGAGATCAAGCACGTGGAGCATTTCAATGACCCGAGCTCCGACGGCTACATCGCTCAGCCCGGGCTGATGGCGGCTCTTTGGACGCAATTCGACGCCCCAAAATGTGGTTCCCACCTGCATTTGAGGAGTTGTCTTGGTCCCACTAAATCCATTTGGGGCTGCCTTTTTTGGAGGGCACGTTTTTTTGGGCGGTCTTAAAGGGAAGCCAACAGAAACAGCCAAGCCATTTTGGGACCCTAGAAAAACAGACACGCCGAATCGAGGGGTTTTCTTGGTCCCACTAAATCCCCTTGCCTGGCTGGGTGCAATTTTGGGGCTGGTTCAAGGGAGTTTCAACAAATTGAAATCACTCATGTTATATGGGGCGGGGGGGGTTTTGCTGAGGGGAGGGAGCCCAAATCGGGCACTGAACAGGGGGGCCGAAACCGGGCAAGCACTTGCCGTGGGAACTCTTTGAAGTTCCATTTTGAGGTTCCCCAAGGACCAGAAATTGAAAAAAAAAAACATACCTGGATCCCCAGTTGCCCTTATTTTCCAGCTACTTTTGCCAAATTATGGGCTACTAGTGGAAAAAATGGCTGGCATTTTTTTTCTACTTGGGGATCCAGGTGTCCGTTTTGATGCGCGGAAAGCTGAGAAAACCAGCTGAACCAACACTTCTTGAAAAAAAAGGACAAAGAGCACTTCATTCAAGTCCCCGGCTTGGCTGCACGGCGCCAGGGCGCTGCGGCAAAAATCCCAGCTTTGAAGCTGGACCTTTGCACCAGCGAAAGTTGGTGCCCTTTCAGCTTCTCAACTTGTTTGGTTGGGAGGGTGAGGGTTCCCCTACTAAAATAGACAAATTACACAAAAACAGAGAGAGAGAGACAGTACCAACAAAAAATCAGAGCTCTCAAATCTGGAGAGCCTAGGGACCCTGGAGCTTAAGACATGCTCAAGCTGAATTGTTGTTTTGTCACGTACCGATGGAGCAAGCGCCTGGGTCCGTCTCGCTGTGGCTTCTTCTTTTTTGCCAGCTTCAGGGTATGTTCAGTGGATCCCAGGAAGCCAACTTGTCACCCTCCAGTCCACTAGCATGGACCACAGGGGGCCCGATTTTAGAGGAACATAGTCTTCCAGGACCCCTCAGTCAGGTTCTGTGCTAGTGGTCACTGCCAGAGGTGCTGGAAGCCAACGAAATCTCTTTGGGGGCTTCGAAAGTGTGGCTATTTGCTTGGTGAGATCCAAAGGTTTTTCGCCCTTTGAAGAACTATATGTTGGGGTGTAATTTAGGATTTGGACCCCCCACAGATTGGTGGGGTTCCTTTTGCCATCCCTTTAAAACCAGCCCAAAAGGGTGTTCCCCCCGAAAAAAGACCCCCCCCCCCTTGTGTGGGGGTGTGTTTTAGGATTTGGGACCCCCCGCAGATGGTTTTTGTCCCCCCAAAAAATAGGAGAAAGAAAAGACACCCCACTTGAGACCTCCTTTGAACAGACTGGCTCGGCTTTCAGGCGGTGGGCTCTGTGGTGTGTCTGGGCGTGTCCATCTCCTTCATGGCCATCTTCGACACGGCGCGCCTTCCGCCGCTTTCGCCGCCGCCGCCTTCGCGCGTCCGCGGAGCGTCGCTTTCGCGAAATCGCGCGCTCTCGGGAGGTGGGGATGGCGCGGGAGGTGGGGATGGGCTGCGGGCCCTCTCCCATGGACATCGGAAGGGTTTGGCAGACTGCTTTCCGTTTGAGGCAGGTTCCCAAAGTCTACATCCATGACTAAGCTTCTCAGGTTTTGAGGGAAAGAACAAACTGGTGCCTTGCTCAGTTTTCGGTTGGGTTGGCTTTCGAGCGGACCGGAAAGCGAACAGAAACCAAGCGACGTGTATGTGTAGACATTACATTTGTGTAGAGGTCCCCTGCATCCGCATCCGCATCTCCGTCAGCTCTGACGCATTTGTTGTTCAAAGAGGGCAAGGATCCAAACTCTGAGCCTGCAGGTGAACAAGACGGGGGGTTGGAGCGAATTTGCTTTTTTTCCCCCCCCCCCTCCCCCAAAAGAAACGGAGGATTTTGTGACCTCCACCAACCCCCCCTCCCATTGGCCATTTTGGGTCCCCAAACCTCAATTTGTTTAGCAGGGGTTCCTCATTTCCTTTTTTTGAAACCACCAAAAGTGGCAGTTTCAATCATCAAGTAGCAACTTTCGAAGGGGAAATCCAGTGAGTGCCCCCTGCTTAGAATCTTGAAATCCCTCAGATGCAGAAAGCCGAGTTTCGAAGATTTGGAGGGCACCTGGATCGCCAACTAGCGATCTCTTTTTTCCATGCACCTTACCCCAAAAACCGATCGCAACAGTGACTGAAAGAAGCGGCAACTTGGCTAGGCACCTGCTTTTTTTGGTAGAGGACAACGGTTTTCGCCCGGGCGCCATTTTTTTTTTGGTAGCGGAGACCAGCCGGAACACCGTGCGAGCCCATTTTCGGGGATCGGTCCAAATCCCAAAAGAACGATCTCGATCCAGGTCTCCGATGCGATGCTCTTCGCTTTCATGACGGACGAGGAATGGAGGCCGGGGGGGAATTCCGGGGATGGGTGGGTGGGCTTAAAATGGGACAAATGTAGAGTTGGGTTCACTTCTCCCATGTAGGTTTAGCCATCCCATTTGCTTACTCATATATTCTGGGAGTCTGGTGCAATCTACTTTCATGGTGGAACCCCTTGGTTTGAATTGGTTATTTTTTGTTTTGAGTTCTCCTGGATCGCCAGTTGCTGTTTTTGTCCATGCACTTTGCCCCCAAAACCGATCGCAACAGTGACTGAAAAAAAAGAGAGCGATCGCAACTTGGCTATCTAGGCTGGTAGAGGTTGAACGGACACCACCGACTTTTTTGGATGCACCACACAACCGTCCGCGCAAGCGCCAGCAAGCGGGGTGCTGCAGAGTTCGGACCTTTGGTGCCGATGCCTGGGCGTTCCTAACACGTGGCCTAGGAACCAAGCGGCCTGGACCTTACCCAGTGGCTGCTGCAAGTGTTTCGCCACTGGTAACCCGATCCAGCCTTCGTCTTTGGTTTTTCTATGGAAAGTCCCTTGGTCACTATAGGGGTAAATGGAGTCACTAGGTGAGCCACTTGCTCAAAACCCGGGCAGATGAAGGTTAGTAAGGGGCAGTCCCAGCCGGAAATAGTTGCGGACATCCGCCTTGCCAATTCTTTACATAGTTCTGGGTGCACCATTTTTGCACCAGGTGTCAAAATGGATTTGCAGGGGTCACCGGATTTCGAAAGTTGCGAGTGACTCGTGGTTTCCACCGGATTCCACTGAAATTCCCACTTTTGAAGGTCCAAAAAGAGGAACTGGAGGGATCCCTGATTTGGACTCTCCCAAGCGGATTTCGGTTTTCCCGTTTGGTGTGCCTTAACACCAACCGAAACCCAACATGATGGTCGGTGAATTCGAGCTGTTTTTTCCCTGGGTAGTTTGAGGGTCCTTGGAGTAGTCCCTAAACTAGAAAATATGTTTGAAGGTTTTCACTTTGAGGGTCCTTTGAGTAGTCCCTAAAATCGGAAAAAAAACAAAACCAACTGTTGAAGGCCCTTCCGAGTAGTCCCTTTGAAGGCCCTTTCCGATTCGCATCGTCGCATCAAAAATCGGCGATCCTTTGGTACGGAACGGAACCCTCAGAGGCCAAAGCCTCAGGCACGAGAGAACACTCTCCCCAGTGATTCCAGGGAAACACCCTAAAACCATTTGGAACATGGTGAGGGGTTACCTACTATCGTGGTAGCCGGGATCCACTGGGTCCGGTGTTTTGGTTGCTTTCGCTGTTTTTAATGGCTGGTTCGCTTTGTTTGCTCTCCCTGAAATCCTTGAATGGCTTTGCTGCTTTACCGCCCCTCTTGCAAAGAAGCTGAACTGGATGTCCGGGCAAAGCACACTCGTTAGAGGAACACTTCAACATGGGGTCCACGTTGAAGACAAGCCCATTGCTGGCTTGACAGCTGATGTGGTTTGATTTCGGGGGGTAGGAAACCCCCCCTTAAACCCAGACACAGAAAGGGTATCTGGGTTTGCTATTTTGGAGGCACCCATTTTGAAGTTGGACATTTGAGGGTCTAGGTAGGAATCTTGGGTACCTCATGGATGCCTTGTTGATGTCCTGCCTTTCCAAGGTCCACAACAAGCAACATTCTCCAATGGAGGGTCCCCGATTCAGATGCTTAGGCTGCTTGGTAGACTCAATTTGGAGTGAGTCAAGGGTTGGGAGAGTCTTTCTTATGGGCACACCAATGCATCAATGGTTCGGCAGACTGATTAGTTCAACCCGTTGAGAGCCGGAGGGGAAGTATCTGAAAGGATTCTTGATCGAGCTTCAAGCAGGCACAGTTCTGCCATACTGTGGGTGGTCCGGTGGTGAGAAAAACCAAAACCCACTGCCTGTCTCAAAAAAAATGAGACCGATGTTTCTTGGATGGTACAGGGAAACAAAAAGGAGGCCCGCCCGGAGGGGTCCCCACTTTGCGGAAACACCCACTCTGCGAGAACTGGTTGAACAAACGGCTTTTAGTGATTCACTTCACCCCTGTAGGTAACACCAAGGGAACTCATCATGTAACACAGGGATACATTTTGCAACCATTTGAAACATGGCATTTTGTTCCACCAACATAAGGTTGAAACCACCATGTACAAGTTGCAATGTTCGATCGGTGTATGATGCATCCGGATCCCTGTAACACCTAGAGGTCAACATCATGGTTCGCCTCCGAAACGACCGCCCAAAACCCCCGCCACTTGGTGCCTTGGTCGCTCTCGCTGGGCGGCCTTCCTCGGCGCCGGTGTCGGGTTTCGGGTCTCGGGTTTCGCTTCGCTGCGCCAGGAAGGGAAAGGGACTTCCTCCGAACCCCAACATTCCGGAGCCTCCTGGCCGCAGACCAAACGCGTGGGTGGACGCACCTCTGCATGGGTCTCAAAATCGTAGGGTGGTGTCCTCTGGATTTTCCTTTAACCCCCCCTGCCCTGAAGAACAATGGCGCTAAAAGGACATATGGAAATGGTGGAGTGGTTTCCTTTGCTTTCCCTTCGGCCCCCACCCCCAAAAAGAATCCCCACATGGACACAATGTATGGAACACAGGCTTTTGAGAAGTTCTGATCTGAGAGGGCCAAGATTCACCATGGACCCCTTTGTGGTTGGAGGCATACCAAAGCGAAAATCGATCTTTTGGGCGGGTCCCGCCTGAATTCTGGGTGGGGCCTTTTTCGAGGGTTTCGTCTTTTTTTGGAGGTATAAATGAAAACCCACCAGCATGTTGTGGGTCCGGACACCCCGAATTCGTCCTTTTGGCGATCCAACGGAGGTCCCACTTGACCTTCAATGGAGGGTTCTGTTTGATGCTCAGGGCAGCCCCCAAGCTTCTTGACCTCCATTTTACCCTTTGGTTTGCTGCGGGCCCAAAACACAGGTGGGAGGGGTCGATACGCGCGCTACTGTGGTGTAGCCAACAAGCGGACACATAGGCAGTCGCTTGAAGTTGGTTGTTGGCTGTAATCAGTTTAGCAGACTTGCCTACATGTGCAACTCAGATCCGACCTTTTGACCTTGTGGTTTCCTGTTCTTGGTCCATTTTTTGTCATTGCCCCCAAAAGGTTAACCTTTCATTTCCAGGTCCGTTGGGAAAGTGAGGCAAAGTCACATTTAGCCGGATTTCAATTTGGGCGATGCGCAAAGTCACATTTACCAGCCTTGGAGGATGTTCTGGCGAAGCTGGTTTGGCTTGCAGACCATTCAGGGTGTTTCCTCCTTTAAGCTAAGCATCCCTTTGGAAGCTTTTGAGACCCAAACAGTTGGCACCAGGATCTGTCATGATCTCGCGATCGCGATAGGTAGAGAATGACTTTCCGGGTCAGGTTGTTGGGAATCATCCCCGGTTTTGGATGGACTCCTAAACCATAGATTACAAAACCCCTCCCCCCTTATACCCCCTCCCCATTTCATCTAAGAGGTCTTTGCAGGGCTGTGCGCTAATAGCTTACTAATAGCTTCCTAATAGCTTACTAATAGCTGCTAATAGCTTCCCGGCTTTAGCGTACAAATAGCTGCTATTAGGTAGCTATTAGCAGCCATATTTTCCTGCAGGATTGTGCCGGGTTGTCACGCTGCTTCAAACGCTTGAAGTCTTTACAGGCGGCAGGTTGTTGCAATGCCGCGATGGCTGGTACTGAAATATTCCCCCAAGGACCTCTCCCAGGCACCCTAGGCAGATAAGCATTCTACACTTAAATGAGAAGGGGGGGGGGTACAAGGGGGGGGGGTTAGTATTCTATGGCTAAAGAAAGGAAACCACCAGTTGGGTTGTATGGGGTCTCGTTCCATTTCTCATTCCCTGAGACCCAGCAAGACATATTTTGGAGCTGTGTTTGGGGATGACCAAAGCAGATCAGAGTCAGAAACATGGCTGCTTGTTTCCTACTGTGGATGGACGAAATCCGGCACCACCTAAGAAACCCTAAATTGATACTTCCCCTGTGAAATACCAACAAACAATGGTTTCCCATGGTTTCAAAGTGGTGCGAAATGGATTTCGTCCATCCACAGTATTGCCACTGAACGCGGGTGACTTGGATCATAGTGAAAGACTGGGGCCAGACGATTTTTGCGGGCGACCTATCCCCTTGGGTTGCGTGGAAGCCTTCGAGTTGCGGCCAAACCGCACCGTCCGAGGAACCTGCAGAAGCTCCTGGATACCACAAAGGAGTGAGGCAAGGGCTCCGGAAGGTGGACCGGACCCTCAAGCGATTTGGCTGTGGGTCAAAAATGACTAAGGCCCCCAAAATCGGTTGCCCTGAGAAATGGAGCCAAAGACTCAACCGGTGGTCCATATCCTGGGTTTATTTTGATACCCAGTTCAATTCCTTTGATACCCGGGCCAGTGGACTGATTCCTTTCTGTCTGCCTTTGACTCCATCAACACCTTGGTCAGGCAGCAGGTCCTGTCCAGGAATCTCGGTACCTCAAAACGGGACGGTCGGTTTCATTGACGCCCATAAGCCTGCGGTACCGAAACCCCCAGGCTCCAGCGGGTACCGGCCCGGCCTTTTTAGAGGGGCCTCGTCCCTGAAAACGGGACGTCGCCTTGGTGGATTTTCAGCTGCGCTGCCCAGATTTCACAATGGCTAAACTAGCCGCACGGCGCCTTTTGCCGATGGCTGTCAAGACCAAGCCCGAGTGAAGCCCCGAACAGCTAGGACCAGTACCCCGAAAAGCCATTGCGTTGTAAGGACGTTGGGATTTGGGACATGGTTGAGAAAGCAGGTGTTTTTTTCTTTTCTTTTTTGGGGGTGCTGCTTTGGACTGTTTTCCTTTTTATTTATTGGAGAGCAAAACCCTGGACGAACCGCGTGCATGCACCTCCCATCATGCAGCGTTCCGTAGCTCGCTTCCTGAGTTCCTGGACTTTGAGCTTTTTGGGAAGACCATGTTAGTCTCTGTTGCCCAGTGGCGCCTTCCTTGTTTTTTGCGGAAGGGTTCCTCTCTAACCTCAACTATAACCAATAAGGATGCCTTCTTTATCTTCATGGCCACTGGGAAAGAAAAAGTTCCGCCTTTTTTGGCTCACCCACTCAGGAAGCGAGGCAGTTTATTGTGGGGGGCGGTCTTGACCGCCATGTCCTAAGGATCGGATTCGCCGATTCGCCGATTCGCACTCCAAAGAAGGGGGCGTCAAACGACTCGCGTGGGGAGCCTATGGGAAAATGGCAGCGTGGGGAGCGTGTGGATGGTCCTCCCAAGTACTGGTTGTGTGGGTGTGTCATTTTTGAGTACCCCGCGTTTTTGTGGTTTTGAAGGGAAGCCAAGAGGAAAACCGGAGCCCATTTGGGGGGTGCAAGTTCTTAGAAAGGCACACCCACGCAATGGCAGAACGGCGGTTGTTTTGGTTTCCTTTTCCAAAGAACCGCTGGGGCCAGTGAAAACTCAGGCTCCTTTAGATCCAGCTGGGATGGTATACTGGAACCCAGCAAAGGAGGGAACTAGAACAAGTCCACGGAAGTGTCCCAAGCGGATTTCAGAACTGAACCCTTGAAACGTGAAACGGATTGCCCTGTGCCGGTGCGGCTTGACTGCTAGGTCAGGGTATTTTTAGAGTATGTTTTCTGATTATTGCTAACATGTATGCTTATTATTGTTATAATTGTTGACTATTATTTACACGCTGACGCGACACAGCCGGCCACCGGGCACCCCTCCCGTTCTTATCTCCTTTCCCTCTAAGTTTCCTGGCATGTCCCTTCACTTCCTTCCACTTCACTGCCGCTTCAGCTCCCTTCATTTCCTTGAAGACTCCTTCATTCGCATTCCTTTCCCTTTTCGATCTTTCATTTTCCTGCAGCTTGGTTTCTCTCCAGCGCCCTCTTCATTTTCGTGCAATGCCTTTGACTTGCATTTCGTTCACTTTCCAGTCACTCCTGTTTCCTTTCAGCCCCTTGTTTCGCATCGCCAGCATGCATAGCATCATCCGCATCATCCGGGATGATGCTGGCAATGCTGGGGGTGTTGTCCAGTATTAGGCACCCCCCAAAAATACTCGTTTTTGGACTCGTTTTTGGATGCTGCGGGGAGATGCTACAAAAACGCCTAAACCAATCCGCAAATCCTTCGCCCCTTATAAGGGAGGGCCCAGCATAAAACGTATGCGCATGTTCTGGTCATGGTCCGCGCATGGTCGGCGGCATGGGGCGCGCGGCCTTATACCTGAAGGTAAGCCCTAACGGGCTTTGGCCTGCGGCCCGATCACGTCCGGTGGCCGGATTTAAGGGCTGCCGCCCAGTGCCGCCGACCCCTGGATTTAGTTGTGGTTTTGGAGCCACAAAAAACAGTGCCCTTGGTTTTGGTTTCTTTGGTTTCTTTTGGGTGAAATGTTAGTGGCCCCAAAAGGCTAATCTTGTATTTCAGGGTTTTGTTTGCATTTTTGAAGACACGAACAGGGACTGTGACTTGCTGGGCAACAAATGATCCCTGTCATGATCACTATCATCGTAGCATACTCTGCATTACCAAGGGTGCCTAGTGATGATCATGACTACGCATCACTATCGAAACGGCACCTCGCCTCAGATGCCATTTGTGTCATTGAGATTTGGAGTCCTGCCTTGATGATAATCATCACTACGCATCATTCGCAGCATCTGTGGCAATCATGAGGATAATCATCACTACGCATCCCCAGCATCTCCAGCAGCGATGATCATAATCATGACTACGCATCACTGTCGAAACGGCAGATGCCATTTGGGTCATTGAGATTTGGAGTCCTGCCTTGATGATAATCATCACTACGCATCATTCGCAAGAAACCAAAGAAACCAAAACCAAGGGCAGTGTTTTTTGTTGCTCGAAAACCACAACTAAATCCAGGGGTCGGCGGCACTGGGCGGCAGCCCTTGAACAAGAATGAGATGATGATGAGCATCATGATGATGATGAGAAGAGCGATGACATCATAATAAGGATGATCATGATGATGATTATGATGATAACTATCATCGTAACACCCTTTGCATCACCAGTGCTGCCTAATAAGAGATGATGATGACCGTGATGATGATGATGACAAGGATGAGGACTGTGATGATAGGCATCACCAGTGCCGGCTACTAAGAGACGATGATGACCATGATGATTACGATGACAAAGATGAGGGCTGTGATGATTTATATCATCGTAGCATCGTAGCATCCTCTGCATTACCAATGGGGTCTAACGTTACTATTGAAATGCATATAAGAATAAGAATAAGAATGAGAACAAGAATGAGATGATGATGATCATCATGATGATGATGAGAAGAGCGATGACATCATAAAAGTATCGTCGTAGCATCCTCTGCATTGCCAATGGGGTCTAACGAAACTTTTGAAATGCATATAAGAATAAGAACAAGAATGAGATGATGATGATCATCATGATGATGAGAAGAGCGATGACATCATAATAAGGATGATCATGATGATGATTATGATCATAACTATCATCGTAACACCCTTTGCATCACCAGTGCTGCCTAATGAGAGATGATGATGACATCCTCGGCATCACCAGTGCCGGCGTGATACATATCGTCGTAGCATCCTCTGCATTGCCAATGGGGTCTAACGTTACTTTTGAAATGCATATAAGAATAAGAACAAGAATGAGATGATGATGATCATAATGATGATGATGAGAAGAGCGATGACATCATAATAAGGATGATCATGATGATGATTATGATGATAACTATCATCGTAACACCCTTTGCAAATAAGAGATGATAATAACCATGATGATAGTGATGATAAGGATGAGGACTGTGATGATAAGTATCGTCGTAGCATCCTCTGCATTGCCAATGGGTCTAACGTTACTTTTGAAATGCATATAAGAGTAAGAACAAGAATGAGATGATGATGATCATCATGATGATGATGAGAAGAGCGATGACATCATAATAAGGATGATCATGATGATGATTATGATGATAACTATCATCGTAACACCCTTTGCATCACCAGTGCTGCCTAATAAGAGATGGTGATGACCGTGATGATACTGAGGACTGTGATGATAACTATCATCGTAGCATCCTCGGCATCACCAGTGCCGGCTACTAAGAGACGATGATCCTCGGCATCACCAGTGCCAGCTAATAAGAGATGATGATGACCATGATGATAATGATGACAAGGATGAGGACTGTGATGATAACTATCATCGTAGCATCCTCGGCATCACCAGCGCCGGCTAATAAGAGATGATGATGACGTGATGCTAGTGATGATAAGGATGAGGACTGTGATCATAACTATCGTTGTAGCATCCTCTGCATTGCCAATGGTGTCTAACGTAGCATCCTCGGCATCACCAGGGCGGCCCGAGACTTACCCCACGGGCCCAGGATTCCTAGCACTCCTTGTGCCGAAAAGTAAGGGGCTCATTTTTTGAGATAGCGTCCCCTGCGCCCAAGCCTAAATGAGTCCCCTGTGTGGCAGCTACAATGGGCCAGAGCGGGGCGTTAAGCCCCAATCTTCAGGGGCCGGGGGGGGCAGTCATCATGATCATCATGTCCACGCAGCTTTTGCATGTGAAACCCTCTCTGACGCCACAATTGAAACGTATATCAAAAAGTAAGGATGATGACGAGGATGATGATGTTGAAGGATACAGAAATGATGATGATGATGATGTTGAGGATAAGAATGATGAAGGATCATATCGATGATGATGATGATGATGATGATGATGATGATGATGATGGGCATCCGTATGATGCCAGTAGTCATATGCTTGCCTCAAAGATTAATCCATGCGCTTGTACTGCAACCACCCTTCCCGTGCGCCTCCCCCTTTGAGGAGAAGGGGTCGGCGGATTAGTGTTAGTATTTATCATTATTGTTATTACGTATTATTGTTGTTGTATGAGGATTATTAGTATTTTTTATTATTATTATCATTATGTATTATGATTGTTATTACGAATTATCGTTATTATGGTTATTAGTGGTACTAATTATCAACATTGTTGCGATTGCTATCATTATTGTTACTGTTATTATGTTATTATTCTCGTTTTCCCTGTTGGCGTCAAAGGGAATCTATTATTGCTCAATATATGTTCGATTTTTTCCTGGGGACGAAGAACGCAATTACATGGAGGGCTCGGAAACATAAGACTTCGAAATCCAACACTTACAGATGTGTGGTTGGGAATTGTGCACATGGGCAAGTTGAGACTTTCAGGCGTGATGAGTTGTCCTTAAACATCTACAAAGAAAATCAATTTTCGTCACACTTGATGGTTTATAGTGACTTGAGCCATTTTATATCCCATGATTGTCAGGTGCCCCCACCCCCCAAAATGGGCCTTCTGGAGGCCCCTATTGGGAGGGGGGGGGGGTTGCACGGGGGGTTCCTTGAAAACTACATTGCACTCTGCGCTATTTTCATAGCGAGCTCACCGATTCGGGGGTATAACCAGCTCACCAGGAGAAAGGTCCTTCGTGGGTCCACTTCTTAATTCAGGTTGTGGAATTGTAGTAGAATTTGCAGAATTTCAGCTGTCCAGAATATCCTACAGTTTAGGTATGTACCATGTAGATCCTGGCTGCGTCCGCCTTCCATGTGGACTCCTTGATTGGGATCCCCATGTTGACTTTTGCCATCTTTGCCTGGCATGCATTGAGTGGGTGCCGTATTGACCTCAAGGTCCGTAGAGGTCCGTGATGAGTTGGCATCATAGGATCTTCGGTTCTTTCATTTTTTTTGCCTTCTCACACCCTATGTGATCCAGATTTGAATATGATAAGCATGCTGGTACTGAGGTTCATAGGGACCTGATAGTCAATGGGACCGCCTCGGACCCAGACAGTCAAACTCACGTAATAAACCTCAAAGGGGTTGACTCGGGGATGCCATCCGATCAGATTCCTGGAGTGATCAGATTCCCCTCATGTGGTTTTGTTCCATTTTCATGGTTTCCATGGTTCCCGTTTTTCTCGATTTCGGGGGATTTCGGCACCCAGGGTCTGTCCAGCTGGGAACATGTGTCGTCCATTGGCTGGCGCTTCCGGACTTTCTGGGTCCGACACGCTGGCTTTGGGAAGCTCCGGCGAGATCCGCGTAGCGGGATCCGGCGAGGCCTTCTCCCGGGGCCGATGACCCCTGGGGAAGTTGAGCCCCAGCTTTTGCAGATAGCTCCGGTTAGGAGCAACATGAGCGGAAGTTGCATCAGTTCCAGGAGTGAGGATTCACTTGGTGCGGATGGGATGGATGTGGTGAACGCGGATGTGGTGGAGCAGGAGGAGAATGTGGCAAATGCTCTGCGTCTTCGTGAGACGCGTCTGGCAAGGTTGCTTTCAGAGATGATCTTGACAGACGAGCGGTTCCTTCGAGCGGCGCCAGCGCATCGCGTCATGAGATGTGCTGGGGCATTCGGAGGCTTTTCTGTGAGCTTCGGGCATAGCCGAGCGGCGACTCGGTTGACCAAATCCGACCAGAGGAGTTTTAAACTTTCCCATTGGGGTGCCTATTTCATGGTTGTTGGGAAACATTTTATCTTGTTTTGCTTATTGTGGTTTAGTGATTGAAATCCCCACTTACCTGCTAACATTTATGTTTTTGCTCCCCTTCCAACATCACCAATATTTCCATGTTTAATTAAGCAATATCTCAAAGCGTGCTCACCAAAGAAACGTCCAGGCTGTGTTGGTTGCAAGTAAGGTGAAAGAGATCAGCAAGTTCATCTCCCATAGCTGGCACGCATCACCATTGCTGAAGACCCTGACTTTGCACAGGTCTTACAATTTGACGGCCGCTACAGTGCTGGGTACCTTGGGTTCAATGGCGCTTGCGCTCAAGAACCAATAAAAAAGAAACTTTTGGAACATGAGAAGGATTGCCTGGACCTGCAAAGGTCCTCTTTCACCCGAAATTTGACGTTCCCACCTGCAAAGGAAGGTCGTTCACCTGCAAAAACAATTAAACAAGTAATAATATTAATAATTAAAAAAACAAAAAAAGAAACAACTTGAGCGCCGAGGTAATTTGGGCGCACTGGTGGGCGCGCTCCTCTTCTCTTTGGGCCTCCTGCCGGGCTTCGCGAGGGCTCCGCGCTTCGCCACGGAGGCGCCGGTGGTCGCGGGACTTTGGGCCTCGGGCCTCGGCTGTCTGTTCTTCGTGCTGGCGCTGTTGCTTCGAGCTCCGCGAGACTTGGATCTGAGAGACTTCCATGTGCGTGCGAAGACCTGGACCCTCGAACTACCCATAAAAATGGGAGATCACCAACCATCATTTTGGGGGGTCTTTGACCCATTTTTAAGTTGGAAATTTGGGGGTTCAGGTATCTGTTATTTTTCCCTCCTGGCTTTCAAGGGAATCTATCACTCTGAGAGGTGGTGTGCCCAAAATGGCACCTTGGTGCATGGAAGCAAAGACCAACACCTGCGTAGCCCCAGCTGTTTAATTCTGAGCCACACCCATGGAACTCCTCCTTTTTGGGGGGTGTGCCGTTTCTTGGAGCGTTGGATGGGTTTAAAGGTCGCCAACGGGAGAAACCAACCATTTGGGGGGGGCTTTTTGGGTGTGTGTTGTTTTTTTGGGGGGTTTTGCTTGTCTCGAGACTTGGCTGCTATGGAGGTGAGAGGGCCCGAACTCAGCAAGTTGGGTGTGTCGGTGTTTGGGGCGTTGGTAGCCCTTGCTGCATGGGCTTGAGGGTCGCCACCGGGAAAAACCAACCATTTTGGCCGGAGTGTGTGTGTGTGTGTGTGTGTGTGTGTGTCCCTCAAAAAAAGGCTTTACAATGAACATGAGCAGGTTTTCATGCAAAGCCAGAAACCGGTCTAATCGAATTTGACCTCTTGTTCTTGTTTTTGCTAGCCCAGAGGCTCCTGGCTTCGGCTTTCAATGGAAGACCCGACCCCTCCATTAGACACCCCGCTACCCGGTGGTTGGGTTCTCAAAACCAGGTTGTTGGAAGGCCCATCAATCGAATTGGATCCCTCTGGGAGCTGAGGAGAGCCGGTGTTTCTGGATCGACTCTGCATCAACCAGGAGAACGACGAGGCGAAGGCGGAGGGGGTGATCAACCTTGGAGCCTGCCTGAAGCACTCCAAAACTTTCATGGTGATTTGGGACGCGACCTACTGCCAAAGGCTCTGGTGTTTGTTCCTCAGCGCACGAAATTGTCGGAGGTTTGCGGGGGCCCCGAAAAAGACCCCCCCCCCAATTTGACACTTTTTGGGTGGATGCCCCTTAGATCTCAACACATCCTTCAAAACGGGTCATTGCAACCCAAAATCATGGTTCCCTCATCAGGTGGAGCCATAGCAAAGGAACCAGTCTTTCGACCATGGCACATACGGGTGTGTTATATGACTATTTCTAGTTGGTCGCCTGCATGGCTTTCCTTTGAACTCACCATTTCCAGGCATAGGGGGTGTCTTTTTGCATACCCCTTTCTTTCGGTCCGATTCGACAGTTTTTGTTGCCCTCCAAATGGGCAACCCATCGAAACACCGGAACCCATCTACTTGAAGGGTCCCCTCCAAGTTTTGTTTTCGGGCCCTTGAGGAATTGGTCGGTCCATTGGAGGGTCCCTTCTGGGGTCGGGGCATTGAAGGGGCCCCGAAAAATTTAGGGTTGGACATCACCTCCATTTGCTGAAGTGTTTTTCCTTTATAATAAAGCATTTGTTTTCGCTTCTTGGGTTACAAGGAATTCATCCCTACTGGAAATATGTTGTTTTTTCCTGGGGCCTTAGCCAAACGGAAGATTATGGTTTGTGAGCTTTCCCTTCTTCACGGGTAGTTCGAGTTCGAGGGTCCGGGCACCGGTTTTTTCTCGGCCGGGCAGTGGGAGGTTCGAGCCACGTGAGGTTCGAGCTGGCGGCATTTCTGAAAACCCACGAGGACGAGTCGGTGATCATCGAGCCCATCTCACTGACAGTTTCTTCCATTCCCAAAAGGTCCAAGATGGTCCAAGTACCCTATGAGGATGGCCTTTGGGGGGTAAGAGGTCCTTTGGTGCCTCCTTTAAAAAGGTACTTGGGAATTGCTGAAATTTAATATGTGTTTTCTTCCATGTGCTGAAGTTTAATATGGCTGTGGGTCAAAACCAATGCGATCCCATTTTGGGGTAGGTGAATTCACCACCCATTTTAGTGGGGATTGGGCTTTTGACTGGGGGTACGGGATTTTGACCCATGGCCATATGTTTTTGTTTCCCTTATTGGTTTTAAAGGGAAACAAGTTCACGACTGGACATCTGGGCTTTCTGGGGTTTAAGCAAGATGAAGGTTTTCTGCCTGGGCAGCTTCTTCTTCAACGTGCTGATGTGGTGTGGAATCGCTGTGCTTTCCTTCGATCACCCCTTCACCGCTCCCATCATGATTCTTGCGTTGTGCGCTTATGGCTTCCTCTTGGCCGACCTGCTGGTGCGGTACTCCCAAAGTCTTGACAGTCTCAAGAGTCACTTTGTTGCATTTGCCGAGGGATGTTAGGACTTTAACTTTTTGCCAGCTGATGAGTTTTGTTTTTCCATTCAACCACTAAACTTCCCCAGAAATAGCTCCCCTTGTTGCTTTTTTGGCTTTTTTGGGGTCCCTTTGTTTTCCACTAACCAGGCAAACATATGTTTTTTGCTGGGGTCCTAATTCCAGCCTAGTAAAAGTTAAACTTTTAGCAGGGGTCACTTTAGCAGGGCTGCTTAAAAGATACGTACACTTGGCCCATTTTAAACGTGTTGCTTTTTCCACCAAAATCAAGGGACACCACCATTCACAAGTTGCAATGTTCAGGTGTATAATGTACAGGATCCCTGTTCAGTTTTCGGAAACTAGGTCCCCCACTAGTGCCCTTCTCTCCCCTTTTTTGGTTGGGACGGTTCAGGACCCTACTTAAAATTCACAAAACTGAAAACAGAAACGCTAACCCTGTTTAGCAGGGCTTCGCAGAAAGCCGAGGTCAGTTGCAAAGCTTCCGATTTGCGGAGGCGAAGATCTCCTGCTGCTCCGATGATCACAAGACTCCGGAAGGCGCAGACCGGATGTGCGATCGAAGCGTCCTGCAGAAATGCGTGGAGGCGTGGTTTGGTTCGGTGGAGGAATTTGAGCAGGCGGTTCAAACCCGGGCAAGAGACGCCTTGGGTCGTCATTTTGGGGGCAGATTCTGTCCCTATCATTTGCTGGTAACCACCAGCTTGCCCTTTCTGTGGGCTCACATGGACAATGCTGCTTGACTGCTATTGGGTTGGATCTTTAGACTTTTACTTTTTGGGAAATCAAGGGGTTTCCACTGAACCCACAAAAAGTTAAACTTTATGCAGAGGGGTCAACAGCAGCCAAGGCTGCGGCGCGCTTTTTGCAAGGGGAGATGACACTCGGATGGAGCAACCTGGTGCTGGGCCTAGCCGGAATTTTCCTGGTCGCTCCCACACTGTCCCTTTGGCGCATTTTGCCAAGGGGATATTAGGACTTTAACTTTTTGCTAACTAATGGGTTTTCCATTTAACCACTAAACACTTATTCACTTTCAGGGCTTCGCAGATTTCGCCACCGAGGTCCTGTCTGGTCGTCCTCGCCATGCGCACCTCCGGGTCCCATCCGACCCTTCGGAAGCTTGTGGCCAGCGGCATCTACGCCCTGGGGAATCTCAACTCAGCTCTTCAGCACCCTTTTTCCCTTTTGGTCTGGTGGCTGCCCCACTAAACATGGTCCAAGCCCCAAAAAGGGTTCCCGCTTTTTTGAAAAAAGGTCACTGAAGAACTGAGACCAGGTCCGTTCAGCGAAAGGGTGCCCGACCTCTCGCCCCAAATTTTGGTTTGGAGGGTGAGGGTGACCCTACTCAAATAGACAGATCTGAAAAAGGAACGGCACCCTTATTCTACTCTCTCAAATCTGGAGGACCTAGTTGTGGCTGTGGTTGTCAAAACCAATGGGATCCCATTTTGGTTGGTAGGTGAATTCACCACCCATTTTAGAACCTATTTTAGTGGAGGTTGGGATGTTCACTGGGGGCACGATTTGGATTTGGATCCATGGCCATATATTTGTTGTTTCCCTTGGTAGGTAATTCTTCAGCCCCCCCAGCAATTCTTCAGGGCTCTCAGCCTACAAGCCTCCGGGCAGCTCTTCCTCAGCCACCTGGGAGTTTTCGCCGGGTCCCTGGCGTACTGCGGCGCGCTGCTGCTTCCCAGTCTTACAGCCATCCGGCTGTCCAACCGCTTCTTCTGAGCCAGGCAGTTCTCAAAAAGGAGTTTTACACCTAGGTCCCCCAGTAGTGCCCTTTTTGTTCCCCTTAAAGCCACTGTAAACGGGTACCCTCCCAAAGAAACACAAACATATATTCTGGTCCCCCCCCAGTAGTGCCCTTTCTCACCCCTTTTTTGGTTGGGAGGGTTCCCCTACTAAAATAGACTACAGAAAAAGGCTTTGACCCTTTGTTTGGGGGAGGGTTCCCCTACTCAAACAGACTGCAAAAAAAAACATCGGATACCAACTTATTCCAACCTCTCAAATCAGGAGGACCTAGACACTGTCTCGCTCGAAACGACCTCCAGCGTTGCGGTTTTGTTTCTCCATGGGCCGCTTCTATCTTCATGGCGGAAGCTTTCAGGTCCGAGTTTTGTGGCCCTAGAACCAAGTGGCTGTGGGTCAAAACCCAAATCGTAGCCCCAGTGAATCCCAATCCAACCACTAAAAAAGGTTCTACAGTAACATGGGTTTTGTGAATTCACCTATCCCAAAATGGGATCCCAAAACGGTTTTGAACCATGGCCAAGTGAGTTGCTCGCCTGAGCATTCTCATCCTTTCGCTTTTGTCGGCTGCAGGTGAGGTGTTTTCTTCCGCTTTCCGCCAAGAGGAACAGCGGAACCAAATCCTCGTCGGGTCTGCGAAAAAGATAAAAAGAAATCTTGCGGCCGTTCGTTGGCGGCCTCGTCCGCTTCCGAGGTTCCTTTTTTGTACCGCTTGGGTGTCCCCGTTTCATGGTTCTTGAGAAGCCTTTTACCTTGTTTTGCTTATTGTGGTTTAGTGGTTGAATCCAAATCCACTTAACTGCTAAGACTTAGTTTTTTTAATCCCCACTTAAGTGCTAAAATTCAAATTTGTGAGGCAGGCTGAGGTGCATCGCCATCGCGACGTGCATGCTCATAGGTCAGGTATGCAGGTGGTAGCCCATGCCTGGGGTTAGCTACAACCAAGGTTAACGCCTACTTACTTGACGTAGCTTGAACATTCGAGACACGACCTACCCTAAAAACAGGGAAGCGATTCGCAGCTGGTCCAGCAGAGTGCCCAGTTACCACGATAGTAGGTAACCCTTGGATCCATGTTTGCAACTCTCTTTTTTTTCTGTTGGGTGGCAAGCCTTCTTGATGACCTGCCAAAAGCCGGGTAAATGCATCGATCCACCAAGAAGGTCGTACTTCATGGGTGGGCCATTTCTGCACTTCTTGGAACTTGGGATAGATGAACATGATGAACCCCTGCCAACCCTGGGACAAACATGGATACACCAGCTACCAGCCGATGCCAATCGGATTTGTTCCATCGTTGAACACCGAACAAATGGCTGTGGGCCAAAACCCTGTACCCCTGGTGAACATCAAAATGGGTGGCACACGGGCGTTCATCCGCCCCAAAATGGAGGCATAGGTTATGACCCATACCCAAATGGCGCAGATGCAGCTCTTGGCACGCTGCACTCCGCGGCCCGGACACATGGATTTGCTCGAGCTTCAAGCGCGCGGCGCAAAACAACACACACACACACCCAAAAAAAAAAACACGGGGCGGTTTGCGCGGCCCAAGCAAGTTGGGCTTCGCGAACCCAGCAAAAGGGCCGTATGTCTTTCAAATGGAGCTTCTGGAAAAGATAAACAGATGGATTTGTTTTTGTATGATTGAAGTTTGGTACCATCTTGATCCGCGGCATGCCGCGCTGGTTTCAAGCCAACAGCAGGACATTGCTTCATGCGTGTGCATCAGACTGAGCATCGATGGGCCTTGAGGATGGCAGCGCTTCGGCAGAATCGATCGCTTCAGAGCAAATTTTCGATTTCGGGACTCGTGGGGATCCATTTCTTCCAGGGCCCCCAGTAGTGCCCGTTCTCACCCCTTTTTTGGTTGGGAGGGTCCCCTACTAAAATAGACTACAGAAAAAGGGTACCCTTATTCTACCCTCTCTACTGGAGGACCTAGTCCCAAATCTTATTTGGCCATGGGTCAAAAGCAACTCGTACCTCCAGTGAACATCCCAATCCCCACAAAAATAGGTTCTAAAATGGGTGGTGAGTTCTCCTACAGACCGAAATTGGATCGCTTTGGTTTTGACAACCACATTCATTTCAATGCTTGAAGTGGAATGAATTTCCAGATGCGGTTCGCTGGGAGCTTCGGGCCGCTTTTAGGTCCCCCTCCCCGCCCGCTTTTTGCGAAACTTGTTCTGTTTGTTGCCCAGTGCCCTTTTCCCCTTTTCTCGAGTAAGGGTCCCCCTTTTAACTCAACCAACAAAACAAAGTGCCCTTGTCTTCCCATGAAAATCCACCATCTGAGCCTGGCAGTTTGGAGCCTTGTTTAGGCATTGGAGCCATTTCCTGGTCTAGGTCCCCCAGGATCGTGCCCGTTCACCAACCTTTTTTGGTTGGGAGGGTTCGGGACCCTACTAAAATAGACTACGGAAAAAAGGGCACCCTTATTCTAACCTCTCTACTGGAGGACCCCAGTGGTTCTTGTGGAGATTTGGACTATAGTTTGAACAAGCAGCGGTAGACAGCCACAAATACAAGCAGCAGAGCTCGCGAGTGAACCGGAAGGGGATCTAAGGTTCATCGGGGGCGGTCATGTCTTATTGAGAACCTGCAAGTATCATTGACGGGCTTAAAATCATTTGGGTATGGCTCAAAATTAAACAGCAGGGGCAAACCGCAGGTGTTGGTCCATGTTTCCACTTACCGATCGGGTGCCTCCAAGCCAAAGCTGTTCCCATTTTTTTTGCGGGGTACCTTCAGGGTCCTTGGGGCCTCAAAAAATGTATCCCTTGTGCACCGCGAGGGTTTAGCTTACATGTGACAGAAAATGTACCCATTCGTTTGGGCCACCAGTCATCTTTTGAGCAAGATCTTTCTGCTTTCACCCATTGCCTGCAAAGGGAGTCCGACGACGGAACGCAGTCCCAAGGTGCGTTTCATGCGAAAACCGGGTTTCGGTTCGCTTTGATATAAATATGATTCTTACCATCCCCAAACGGGCTGCAAAGAAACACAACGCATTGAGGAGCGTCCTTTTGGGCCAGACGCTCCCAATCAATTTGGGGCCCTCAAACAGCTGGGTTTTCGCCAAACACCTCCGGGGTGTCTAATGGAGGGGTCGGGTCTTCCATTGAAAGCCGAAGCCATGAGCCTCTGGGGGCAAGCAAATCGGGGTTCCCCTTCCTTGGTTCTTCTCTTCTCAGAGGCAGCTTGCGAGGGTTCGCAGTCTCCAAGGCACGATGTCGCTGAACGTCCCACTCCTCCAGCCGCGCGCGTTCTCGGATCTTTGGCGCCAGAAATCGCCATCTGGATCGCCAGTTGCGATCGCGTTTTTGTTCCACGCACTTTACCCCAAAAACCAGAAACAGTGACCTGAAAACAGCGGCAACTCCCATGCACTATAGCCCAAACACCAGCAACAGTGAAAAAGCGGCAACTTGGCTATCCCGGCAAGGGAGAAATCCCTAAGTCGCCTCGCTGACCGAAACCCCAAAACTCCAAAACTCCGCCACCCCCCACCCAGTTGGCCACCAAGCAAAGGTTTTTGTGGACAGTTTGTTCAGTTGGTGCCTAGATATCCTTGTTGCTGCTTTTTTCAGTCACTGCCGCTGGTTTTTGGGCTAAAGTGCATGGAAAAAAACGCGATCGCGCCTGGCGATCCAGGAAGTTTAAAAAACAAAAATGCGTTTTAAGAGTTGGACACCACCTCAGGTGCTGGGCAGAACTCCCCGGCCAAAACAATGTGTTCACGATGTCAGGGCCAAATGCTGAACCACCCGGGGCACTCGGGCACTCCGCTCCGATACGAATGGTGCCCCCTGCTCGGGGTTTTGGAGGGAAATCTGGGAGCGGGCTTAGGCCATGCGAACAGACTGAGGCGATTTTGGTGGGCTTCGCAACATGAAGGGCCTCACTTCTTCCAGTGACTCCATTCACCTGGTTTCGCGGGTAGCCGACAGAACCAGAGGAACCTGGCGAAAGGTTACCTACTATAGTGGTAGCCGGGGTCCACTGGGAATGACCATCTTCTCAAATGATCACGACTAAGTCTCTCAGTGGATCCCACGTAAAACAGGTAACCCGTCGCCATGTTCCTCCCGGTCCTTAAAGGGTGGTTCCCTTGGTTTCCTGCTATACAGGCAAAAAAGAAACCAATGGGGTTGGTTTCAAAGGACCCCATCCCATTCCAATGCTTCAGACCCGTCTGGGTGGTTTGGCTGCATTGTTTTAGCATGTTTTTGTGGCACGGCCTACATCAATCTTCAAGCACAATGAGTAGCAGGCCTATAAATCTTCAAGCACAAGCATCTGAGTAGCACCACACGTCAGCATTTTTTTTTCCGTGGTGCCCTTTGGTTCATCCAGACACTCGCTGAGTGGGTTTTCTTGACACAGGCTCCCTCGATGTTCTTTCTTGGCCTCCAAAAAAAAGTGGCAGTTTCAGTCGCGGTCGCTTTTTGTCCAGCTGCGACGAGCAGCTTTTCAGGTACAGCGTAACAGTGGGAACAAGGCGAACGCGACTTGTACCTTTTAAGGAGGTACTGAACGACCCCATTTTATCGATCCCCAAAAGCCGACTCCTCGTGAGGTACCAAGAGACCACCGAACTGTAGAGGAGGTCTGTGAAGAATCGATGCATTCCACCGCCTTCAAGGCCCTTGAAATGGGCAGGGTCCTTAACACAGCGCTGGGTTCCCAGCCATGCGGTTCCTTAGCTTCTTGGCCTTCTAGTGTTTAGTGGTTGGACTTCCGTTTAACCCACTGAATTTGTTCGACTCTTAGCGGGGGATCTGAGGACAGGGCAGTCTTTTCAACCAGTCGAATCGGGCCAAGCCTTGAGCTGAAGGGTTGCAGGCCCGAATTCCGCTGAGTTGTTGGGCCAGCCCCTTTTTAAACTCACGTCTCCCGGAAGGGGACGGGTCCCCCAACCCCTCCGCCCAAACACTTCTTGGGAAAGACTAACATATATCCTGTTTCAAGGTATATTTGTTGGGACCATGTGTTTGGGAATAGGACAAGTTCCATGAGAAACACGCGGCGATTCTATTGTTCGAGGTGTCCTTTTGCTTTCACTTTCAAAGGTGGACACCCAGGTTCCTGATTCAAATGGATACATCCCAAAACCGGGGATCCTGAAGCCCCGAAAAAATCGACTTGGAGGGGAGCTCGACCCCTGCAATTATGCACGAGTTCCATTTTGCCTTTTTTGGGGACTACAAAAATGGATGCCCCCAGCCTCCTTCCCCTTATCTCACTTCCTCAGTTCCCGAGCTTTAGTCACTTTTTGGGGTTGGACCATTTGGTAAACAAAGCCTGGTGCTCAGCAGGGAATGAGGGAATGGCACTTACAACACACCCCTCGAAATCCCTGAGTTCATTCCCACATCCCTACCTATCGCACCAGTAAGAAACGTTCAGTTACTTGTTTGGCCCATCCAAATTGTGGTTGATGTGGGGAATAGCCCCCTGACCACCTGATTTCAGGTGGGTGAAATATTTTCCCATTCACCTACCTGAACCCTCAAAATTCCCTTAAGAATGGGTTTGACCCCCAAAATTATGGGGTGATATCCCATTTTTATGGGTAGTTTGAGGGTCCAGGTAGATCCACTCGATCGGAGGTGTGTTTAAGTGATGGAACTCTCGGGCACGAGGACGAGGACTTGCCTCCCTCACGCCGCCCGGCGGCCTCCCCAGCGAAGAGAGCCTTTGGGCTGGGGGTGGGGTTCGGTTCGTTTTGGGCCGAGCGGCCGGGCTGGTTCTTGCACTTCGTGAGTTCTGTTGTGGACTTTAGTCACTTTTCCGTGTTGAATTGTTTTAGTGCAGTTTAAACAAGAGTTCAGACTTTCTTTGGCCAATTCACTCAGGAGTGCGACAGTGGGGGGGGGGGGCTCGGTGCGAAGGGACGGCAATGCTTTGAGGCATGGAGTGTCAAGGTAGTGCCTACCCTTGCGCTGGATTGAACCATCATCCTTTTGGTTGCCCATTGAGTTTTTTCAGCTTCCTTTGTTGTGATTAGGGGGAAATCTGGTGACTCCCCTTGGTCCAAAGTTGCCAAAGCTTGGGAACCAACGGGCTTCGGTTTCCGGATTTGGGCCCCCCATATTTTCGGCTTTCCCTTTGGTTTCCCACCGGAGAGTTCCAAAAGCATACCGTTATCGGCCAAAGACATGCTGCCGGTGAGTCCATGTCCCTGAATGTTGCAGGTTTGTCGGGGGGGGGGGGATTTCGAAACCCCGCCCGGAAAGACGCAACACTGGGGGCTCAAACGGCGTGCGAGGGGATGGATCCGGGATCCGATCCGCTGAGGGTCGAGAAGAATATTTCCCCAGATGGCTGAAGGCCACAGGGGTTCTAACTTCTAATGAAGAGGGGAACGTGATTTGCGAGATGGACGGCTGGGTGCTAGGGGGCGTGCAGTTGGTGGTGCAGATGTTGCTAGGGTGTGCTGTTTGGGGAGCTGTTTGTGGTACAGGTGACGGTGCGGGCACAGTTTTGTTAAGATTGACCGGGTGCTTTTGGGCATGCAGTTTGGGGTGATGGTGCAGGTGCTGTTTTGAGAGTGCCGGTGACGGTGCGGGCGCACTCTTACAAGATTGACGGCAGGGTGCAGAGGGGTGCTGTTTGGGGGTGCTGTTTGGTGCAGTTTGGGGTGCTGGTGGAGGTTTGGGGCGTGGCGTTTTTGCAAGATTGATGGCAGGGTGCTTCGGGGCATGCAGCTTCGGATGCTGTTGGAGGAGTGCGGGCGTCCAGGGGTGCTGTTCGAGGAGTTGGTGTGCAATCCTCCGCCTATTTTTTGCTATTTGGGGTCTACGCTTGTTAACTTGCTTATGTTGCCGAAATTGGCTCAAAATAAGTGTTCTGGACCTCTGGAGAAGGGGCAAAACCAAATAAGTGTTCATGAAATTCTGTCAACGATTCATAAACACTTATTGACAAAAAGGGCTGAAAATTAGGTGATTTCAACGATTTCAGAACAGACACAACCTGGCAGGATCCAGCGCACACCTGCACAAACGCTGCTTTTTTACCGGCCGCTCCAGATGCTCATGTCTGATGGATGGTCAGGTCCCCCCCAAGCCTTCAAAGGGCTTTAATTGCAGCATGGCTCAAACAAATGTGTATTTTGAAGGATGGTGGACTTGTGGATGGGTTTGGATTGGTCCTGATAGGTTTGGATTGGTCCTGATGGGTCCTGATGTACTTTGAAGGGTGGTCTTGATGGGTCTGGATTGGTCCTTGGTCTGGTCTGGATTCTGGAAACTTTTGAGCACTGCTGCCACTACCAAGTCAGTCAAACATCCGGCTATTGTTGCCAGTTGTCAACTGAGCCCACCCCAAAAAAAAGGAGTGGCGTTCAGGAGGTCCTCAAGACTTTCATCAAATGACGTTGAAGTGATTTCATTTTCCTGAGTTCGTGTACAAGGGAACCCCCGATCCCGCCACCCCACCCCATGATGGCATTCATGACTTAGTCACCATCATTGACCGCAAGTCCATGGATGAGGTGTCAGCGCCCCTCTTCTTGCCAACTTGCGGCTTCGCCTTCCCCTTCGCCTTCGCCTTCGCCGTGGCAGCGATTGCCTTGACCTGCTCCGACTTGTGTTTCCTCAAGCAATCACGGGCGTTGCAGCAATGCAAGAAAACATCCACAGTCGCAGTCACGCAGTGCGGGCTGCAGAAAATCCAAACGGACTAATATGGCAAAACAGAAAGTATATACTAAGTATAACTCCGATCAGTCGGTCAAACAAAGTGTCTTCTCTTTGGCCTCTTTGTTCTCCTTCACCTTCTTCTGTTTCTTCTCCTTCTTGGGGAACTCCTTCATGACTTCGTCCGCCTTGGCGTCCTCGGCCTCGTCCGCCTTGGCGTCCTCGGCCTCGGCACCCGCATCCATCCGCGGATCATCGCCGTTGGTCAACGCCAAAGCAGTGGCCTCCTCATCCATGAAGCTCGCAAGCTCTGGAATGTCGCCCTCACTCGCCACCTGGCCGGTAAGGGCATCCACCGATCTGGGCCGACCCAGCCCCCCGCCCAGACCCTGCCGTTTGACCCCCCTCGCCTTGGCGGCCAACTCCGCCACTGTGGGCTCAGCAGCGCAAGCGGCCATGGGATCTGCAGCAGCGTCATCACCGCCGCACGGGCCGCGCTCCACCTTTATCGGACACACACGCGGACCGGCAAAGCAAAGCAAAATCGATCCAAATAAAACTCAGTGGTCAGTAATCAGTGCGGTCAGTGATCTGATCATCATCAGGCATTAGGCATTTTGGAAGACACAAAACGATCAGTCGCATACCTGACCTAAATGGTGTGCTAGGCTAGGGCCAACCAGGGTGCCGCAGCCGGGGGTGCCGCAGCCACCGAAGCAGGCGCAGGTTCCGGCTGCGGCTGCTCCTGGCGTCCGTCACCTTGGGGATGCTCTGGCTCCAGCGTCTCCAGCATGGTATCCGCCTCCGCGCTTCCACCAAGATGTTTGCTGGGCACGCTGGACTTCGATGCCTCCTTGCGGGTATGCCACTCACGCCACGGTAACGACACGTCTAGGTTGCAAAGTCGAGCTAGGAATGATATCATCGGGATGCAGTTATGTGTGAGGTGAGAGAGGCATGGAACAATGGTTTGAACTTCTGAACGTGGAAAAATGGCGAATAATCATCCGGGAAATTCCTATTCAAATTCAGAGTCAGTTTATCCAGATTCCCATATAATTAAATTGTCTATGTTTTACTGGCGTGTCAGTGCCATCAAATGTATCGCCATAATGTGTTACAATATAGTCAACAGCGCTGACTGACTGACTGACTGACTGACTGAATGATCCCAAACCCATGTGGAGAAAAGGGAGCCCCTGGCCTGGCCCCTGGCCCCTTGCCCTCGCCCCTCGCCCCCGCACATTTGTTTGGCTATTTCTCCAAGGCTGGCGGCACCGGAACAGGAACATATGATTTGCCCACCACCTGATCCAAATCCCAAACCCCAGTAGCACAGTGGCAGTTGCGGGAGTGGGAGTGGCTGAGTGGTGAAGTGACAAGTGGTCAGTGATGTCAGTGGTGAGTGGCACCGTTGAAAAGTCTTCAAACAAATCAAAACCTAAAACATCCTAGTTAATTACCAGTGTGAGGAGTGTCGGAGTGAGTCTGAGTCTGAGGAGGGTGGGTGGGGGTGGGGGTGCAAATCGTGCAAACACATTAGACGACACACGTACTGCGCAGTATACTAAAACACGGGTGTGTCCGGGTGTGTCGGCGTCGTCGGGTGTTTTAGTTTTTTTCCATACGTCCCATACGTGCCATACGTCGTAAAACAAACAAGCCGTTGGCAACGTGTGCCGCGCTGGGTGCCAGGTGCTCGGCCCATCCCGCCTTCTCAGGAACCTCAGACCCACCCAGGCCAGCATCTGCGGCAGCCGCCGTTGCAGCCAGCACCGGGGCAGCTGGCTGCGGGGCAGGAGAAGGACGGCTGGTCGACGGATTCGAGGCCAAAGCGTCGGCTTCATCGGCATCGGCCTGCATGTTTCGGACCTACCTACCTACCTACCTACTCCCTGGGGGGGATGTGGCTGCCGGTAGGTAGTAGTACAGTAGCGCCCGGGAAATTGACTAGAGTCTCAATCTCAGAGTCTATCAAGCTCATTCACTGGGATGGGATTCATTCACTCACTGGATTTCACCCAAGGCAAGCAAGGATGGCTGGGCTGAGGTAAAGATCGAATAGATAGATGATAGGATTCGTGATGAGCAACTTACTCAATCCCAACCAACTCTCAAACCCAAGTTCCCGGTCTGTATCTCACTCAGTATTTGATATGATTGGATGTGGGAGCCCTTTGGGCCTTTGGGGTTGGATTTCAAACCCAAATCCAATGTCCAGAGTCTAATGACTAATGACAGATTCATTCAAATTCAAGGGTCCGGTCGACGGTCGAATCATGTTTCCTGTTTTGCATCATTCATCAGACATCACACCATTAGTCTTATGAGTCTTGTGTCACACATGAATCATAGAATTCATTGAATGAGAATTAGATTAGAACATTCGGAATTCCTTTCAAATGCGACCGCAACAGACAGAAAGCGGGGCGACGCGCCATCAGCCTTGCCTCCTCCTGGTTCGGGTCTTCCGGCTCCATCTTCACGCCGTCCATCGGGAGACCCGCCATGATCACCCGGTCTTTCTCCACATACTCCTCCGGGTCTAAGTCCGGCAAGACTTTCTTGAGAAGCTCCATCGACGGAGAGGGGCGCACCTGAGCGACACTCAAAGCCATCCAGCCAGGCCACAGCCAAACAAATTCCCAACGTAACGCGACGCGAGTCAGTCACCGCTTATTTATTACTTATGGAACAGCTCACACCCCGCCCCTGCCAAACAGCCACCAAAAAAACGGAAGGGCAGGGCGAATGGCAAAGTTGTGCGAATAGTCAGAGTCAAAAATTGACATTGGGGTGCGGGTGTGGGGCCCGGGTTCAAATAGTGATAGATTAACCCCGTCCTATGACTGTCACGGGCCACGGCGGCCACGGGCCAGTGGGGGCCAGCTCTTTTTTTTTTTTTATCTCATGGCGTCGATCGCCGATCGCATCCAGTTCTCGCTGTCAGCTGCATTCGCAGCATTCACAGATGCAGATACACATGAGCGAGCGGTGAACACTGCGACTGACTCACTTGGGTTGTTTCGACT